CCAACAATTACATTCCTAACATAATTTGCACGTACTTGCCATATCGCATCACGTGCCCGTGCAGAACACGCACTCCGAACTCCCGCGCTCCGGCACGGGACCACGTGGAGCATGCGCATTACTCCGGCTCTCGATGCTGTTTCTTCTTCATCCTTGCTGCGCCAACAGTCAAATCGCTTGACAACCTTGGCCAGTTTTGAGCATTGAGCACTTTCCATTTCCGAGCAACCATGTCTGAATCTCTGTCAGTGAACGACGCCAAGAAAATGCGCTCTGTAGAGCTGCGACAAGAACTGGCGGCCCGCAGTTTAGACACGACGGGGACCAAACCCAGGCTGTTGACCCGCCTGCTCGAGTCATTGGAGTTCACTGCAGTGCGCGAGGACTTGGTCACTCAGGCAGCCGAGCAGAACCCACCCCAGGCAACTGCTGCTCCGTCCCTGAGGGACATTATCCGGGAGGAGGTCCGTGCTGCCCTTGGAAATCAGGCCACAGCTCCAGTCCCGCCGGCAGCTCACGCAGCGGCGGCAGCTCACGCAGCGGCACCCGCACCGTCAGCTCGCGCAGCGGCACTCCCACGGCAAGCACCAGCAACTCCGCATGACGCTCTGCCTGCCCCGCATTTGGCGGCTGCCGTCTCATCGCCAATGAACCCCGCAGGTGAGAGAACGTTTTATGCAACCGTGCCGAAAGCCATTCACGATAGAGCAGTAACTGGCCAATTTGTTGAATTGGGCTCATTGTTGCCTAACCCGTCCCAAGGGGACACCAGCCGCAGCATTCTCCAGATCGACCACGACAGCTCGCACGGCGCAGTGGTCCTAGCACCGGCCAACAGGCCCTCCAGGAAGGTCGAGGACATCGACACCTGGCTCGACGCCTGGACAACATACTGCGCCACAGCACACCCCTCCAGGGCCCCAGAGCTGTTCGCGTACCAGCAGATTATCCTGAAAGTAGCCCGGAAATTTCGATTTGAGGCCGTGCAGGAGTACGACCGATCATTCCGCTCACTCCTGGCCGCGGACCCAACCATGCGGTGGGACGCAATAGTCCAGGACCTATACACAGCTATATTTGACGCGCGGGCATTCCGTCCCTTTCGGCCCACCGGCAGCAATGACGCTCGTTCCTTTCGGCCCAACAGCAGCAACGACGCTCGTTCCTTTCGGCCCAGCAGCGGCAACGACACGGTCGACAAAGAAGTATGCCGCCTCTTCAATCAAGGAAAGTGCGTCCGCTCCAACTGCCGCTTCGCCCACAGGTGCCTCTCTTGCGGCCGCCTCGGTCATGGCCAATCCACATGCTCTGCTGGCCAACCCCGCAGCTCCAATTAGCTCACACGCGCCTTGGTCCCCTGTAAATATTCCCCTGCTGTTTGAAGAGCTATCCCAGCACCCCGATAACGATTTGGTGCATTCTCTCTGTCACGACATGCGCTTCGGGGCCCGCATTGGCTATCACGGTAATAGATCCCGCCTCATCGCCCCTAATCTCCCTTCCGTATTGCTCAACCCTGCCGCCGTCTCTGCTTACCTTCAGTCTGAATGCACGCGTGGCCACATGGCCGGGCCTTATTCCCAACCCCCGTTCCCTAATATCCGATGTTCTGGCGTTGGCATCGTGCCCAAGAAGTCTGGCGGCGTACGCCTCATCATGCATTTATCTGCCCCTAGCGGCTCTAGCATTAACGACGGCATTTACCCTGACGAATTCTCCCTGCATTACGTTACGGTAGATGACGCAATACGCTGCATCTTCCAGCACGGCCCCGGAGCTCTCCTCTCTAAGGTTGACATGAAGCACGCGTTCCGGCTCTGCCCTGTTTCCCCTGACGACTGGCCCCTACTTGGCATTTTTTGGGAAGGTTCGTACTATGTCGATAAGGTACTACCATTTGGCCTCAGATCCTCCCCGTTTCTGTTCAACCGACTTGCCGACGCTGTGGCATGGATTGCAGTTAATAATTACGATATTGTTGATTTGCTGCATTACCTAGATGATTTTTTCACGTCCAGCCGCCCAACTCCGCAGCTATGCTCAAATTCAAGACACTGCTGGCTGTATTCGACATGCTGAACATCCCATTGGCCGACGGAGAGGACAAAGTGTGCCCGCCGTCATCTTCAATAAGGTTCCTGGGTATCGAGCTCGACACAGCCGCCTGGGAGCTGCGCCTCCCGGCTGCGAAACTGGCGGAACTACGGCTAGCACTTGCCGCGTGGCTGTCGAAGCAGATGTGCACCAAGAGGGAACTGCTGTCCCTGGCCGGTAGCCTGTCTTTCGCAGCCAAAGTCATTCCAGCGGGTCGCACGTTCTGCAGACGCCTGTTCGACAGCGCAGCAACGCTCCCTAGCCTAGATGCACCGGTAGCCGTACCCTCGGAGGCGAAGCTTGACATCCTGTGGTGGGATGCTTGCATCAGTCAATGGAATGGTCGGAAGCCCCTCATCGAGCCGTCCTGGAACACAGCCGAAGACATTGGGCTGTACACCGACGCTTCAGGTCAACACGGTTTCGGTCTGGTTTTCGGCAGCAAGTGGTCCTATGGCGCATGGTCTCCTGACCAAGCTGAGCACACTATTGAATGGAAAGAATTGTACGCCGTGATGTTGGCCCTCTGTACCTGGGCACACACGTTGGAGGACAGACGAGTGCTACTATACACTGACAACGAAGCAATCTGCTACATCTGGCGCTCTGGCACGTCCCCAAATAGAGCGGTCATGGACTTGGTCAGGGCCGGCTTATTGAAAGCCGCCCAGCATAACATTGTCCTCCTGCTTCGCCACATCGCCGGACACTGCAATGATCTTGCTGATTCTCTCTCCCGTCTGCAGGTACGGCGCTTCCGGACCCTCAACCCAACTGCCGACGCAGCGCCTACACCACCAGCGCAGTCCACCCTCCATCAGTTGATGACGCAGCCATGGAGCTCATCCGTCACGGCCTGGCAGACAGCTCCAGCGCGACGTACACTTCAGTGCAGCGTTCCTACGAACGCTTTGCTGCCCTACGGCAGGTCGCGCCGTACCCGGTGACGGAGCCCAGCCTGATTAACTTTCTGAATTGGAAATTCTCGTCCGGCTCGTCTGGCTCGTCTCTGAAACTCTACACCCAGGCGCTGAGACATCAGCACGTCCTGCAGGGCCTTTGCCTGGATGTTTTCGCCTCACCGCGCGTCCGGCTGCTCCAGCAGGGGGCGCTGAGATCCCAGACGGCAGTCCGGAAAGCGCTAACGGCCGCGACTTTGGACGATCTGGCTGGCGTACAGCACTACCTGCAGTCCACTGTGCCTAGCCCGCACAACCGCGCTATGCTCTGGAGCGCCATGACTCTGGCCTTCCACGGGCTGCTCAGAGTCAACGAGTACACCTTCACGGCACGGGGCACCGGCCTTGAGTTCAGCAATGCGACCATGTACCCAGACCGCGTGGAGCTGCGCCTGCGTGTGACAAAGACGAGCCAATACGGCAGCGGCCAGGACATCAGCGTCAGGAGGACAGGCTCGCCGACATGCCCGCACACGGCAGCCACCAGCTACCTAGCAGCCCGTGGCTCGGCACCTGGCCCGCTCTATCGCTATGATAACGGCACGCCCCTGAAGCCGCATAACATCAACAGGCTACTACAAACAGCCTTGCCTAGCAAAGACGTGCGCAGCCACAGCCTCAGACGAAGCGCTGCAACGCTGGCAGGCAAAGCTGGCGTGCCTGAATATGGGCTGAAAACCGCCGGCAGGTGGCAAAGCTCTGCCTACCTCCGCTATATCCGCACCCCTGTCGCAGACAGAGCATTGCCAGCGGCATTGTTCTAGTCTCTGCCCGTTATGCTAATGGGTAAGCCGCATTGGACAGCCCTAGCAACAGCTGTAGTGTACATATGATATACATATTATACTATAACTATAGTAATGCCGATAATTCCTGTTTGGGTCATGTTGTATTTTTGGGAGAACGGTAGGGATCGTGGGTCAGGCCGGCATTGAGCCAAGTGCGCCTACATGTGCTCACAAGTGCATCCTTACCGTATGCTCATGACTGTATTGACACGCCTAAGAACGGTAGGGATCGTGGGTCAGGCCGGCATTGAGCCAAGTGCGTCTACATGTGCTCACAAGTGCATCCCTACCGTATGCTCGTGTATTGACACGCCGGAATTCTCGCCGGGCAATTGTTGCCCCCATTAGCCCTAGCATTGGCCAGACTAACGCACATTGGTGCTTGCGATACTACGGCATTGGACCATAGTATTGCATACTGTATGCGGCAATTGTTGCCTATGTCCTGATAATACAACACGTAATAGCTCCCAAACAGGCCGGCTTGTTGTGTAGTTGTTAAATATAAGTTTCCGTGCATGGCACGGTAAATGAAGTTAGCAACCCACCAACAATTACATTCCTAACATAATTTGCACGTACTTGCCATAGCGCATCACGTGCCCGTGCAGAACACGCACTCCGAACTCCCGCGCTCCGAACTCCCGCGCTCCGGCACGGGACCACGCGGAGCATGCGCATTACTCCGGCTCTCGATGCTGATTCTTCTTCATCCTTGCTGCGCCAACAGTCAAATCGCTTGACAACCTTTGGCCAGTTTTTGAGCACCACCACCCACCCCATCATCTCTAACCATCATTCTATTCTAAGCCATCCCGGAAGGGAGAACGGTAGGGATCGTGGGTCAGGCCGGCATTGAGCCAAGTGCGCCTACATGTGCTCACAAGTGCATCCTTACCGTATGCTCATGTATTGACACGCCTAAGAACTGTAGGGATCGTGGGTCAGGCCGGCATTGAGCCAAGCGCGCCTACATGCGCTCACAAGTGCATCCCTACCGTATGCTCGTGTATTGACACGCCGGAATTCTCGCCGGGCAATTGTTGCCCCCATTTTTGGTGCTTGCGATACTACGGCATTGGACCATAGTATTGCATACTGTATGCGGCAATTGTTGCCTATGTCCTGATAATACAACACGTAATAGCTCCCAAACAGGTCGGCTTGTGTGGTTGTTAACAAGTATTTACTGACAAGGATCAAATGAGCGAGTACCAAAATTATTAACGTGTGCAGCTATTTCGTGTGCAGTCAGCTATTCCAGGGCTATAGCAATGAGAAGATCGTTAACAATACTCGACAATTGAAAGGATACAATCCCCTTGGGATTGCTAGATGGAGGTGTGCTGAAAAGAGTACAATGTTTATTTCGAGGGCATAATGTAGTTATTATAATTATAGTATTGTATCTTGTTGATCTGCAAACCGTAATTGCGCAACGGGCCACTTGCTGTGTGGCAACGTTTTGGACCAGAGAAATGCAACTGTTGAAAGGGTAGACAAAGGGATAGAAGATAAGGAGTGGACGTTGAAGTGGATATAGGCGGGACAAGTGTGCCCTTTGCAACATTGACATCAGTTTACTCTCGCTGTACATAACTCAAGCAGATGATGATAATGTATTTTGAAGTTATAGATGACCATTTGTATTATTACAGGTTACGGCTGTAAGTGTATTGTCCCTCCGTGGTGCTCTCGGACTCTTCTACGCCGCCAGCTTCAGAGTTACTAAGCACTTCATTGAGGCGCGAGTCCACACAGCTATACGCATCATTCCTAGTGAGTTCACAGCCCTCATACGCCACATTGGCCTCCAAGCGTTGTGGAATGTTCTGGTCCGAATCAGACACAAGATGAGTAGACCCGGACACATTTCTGAGTTCCCGTTCGCCATCTGTGAAGAGTGAAACACGTGAGGGAATATTAACATGTGATGAATATCAAATACTCTGGTTCACCCATGTTGTGTAGTTTACCAGTTCGTGGTTCTCGGCAGTCTTTTATAAGTAGAATTGTACTCTTGTAATTTATACTGGTAATAATAGCAATCGACTTGGGATTTTTATATTTGAATGCCATCAATCTATTTAGAATACCAGAGGATTCCAAGATTCATTGAGTTTCCGGGGCATGATTCCTATTTTTCCCGGAATGAACTTGGACGAATACAGGAACCACTTCTTGTGAACGATGACAAAGACAATGAGGGCCTTACCCTTAATATCTCTCAGATTGACAATCCTCGATTTGCAGAGAAGGAGGACTCCTAGAGTCAGAACAAACAATCCACCCGCAGCAGCACCAGCGCCGATTGCTACAGTTTTGGAGCCACTTGTGCTGGCGTGAGACTCTGAGCCACTGTTTGCGTGAACTTCGCTGGCCGTCGAAGTAAGTTCGACAGTTGATGGAGCTGAGAAACGAGAAAATACAATACCAGGGCTAGTTATCAAAGGTCAGCCCCACTTTCTCTGTGCTGGGCTGATGAGTCCACAAAGGACGAAACAGTTCTGTCCCCAGACTGAGTATTTCGCTCCTGCTCTCGTAATAGTTGAGCACTCTGGTGTGCGTTAGTGCCTTTGCTGTTTGCGTTATAAAGAGCTCACTGACTTTTCAGTTTTGAGCACACTGGCAAGGTACGTTCGGGCCTGGATTACATCTAGCTTGGGAAAAATATTCATTTTTTCACTGTTACCAGGTTTGGCCTCATTTTCTCTGTGCTGCGCTGATGAGCCCGCAAAGGACGAAACATCTCTCAGACTCTGGTACAAGTATTTCAAGAACAAGTTACTCACTCATTACCGTGAGGGCACACTGGGTACTGGGTAGTAACTTTCTGTGAGGGCACACTGGGTACTGGCTAGTAACTTTCTGCTGATTGCCTATTAAGTAGGTTTGCCCGTTTTATGCTGTTGTGATTTTGCTCTTTTCTAGAACTTTGAGTTGAAATTGTGCGCAACACTTGATAAAAAGGAGGACAACATGTTACGAGTTATGATTAACTGTCCACCAATGTAACCAGATCTTTTGTCCCCCTTTTTCACCATAATCCGAGTTAAAAACTTGATAAAATACTCGTTGTGTGTTATTTTGCCCGTAAAGGAGTCTGTACATGTATACAATGGATAGAAAGATTTTTACATTTTTGACGCCAAACACCTTACTACATAGTACATAATGACGTAGCCAGTGTTCTGGTACCGCATGTACTTGGATTCTGCCAGCTTTTACACTGTAGTTTCACATTACACACGTATGGTGGGCCAGACGATACGATGCACATGGCAGCACTTGAAGACGAGTGAAGACTGTTATTGCGGCATTTATATTGATTCTAGAAATATTAGCATATCTCAAATTGATTACTACCCGTTTCTTATGACCTTGTGTCGGTATAAGGAGGTAATCGACCACAGTTCAGACACTTTAAATTGGCTAAGGCTAAGTTGCACATGTATGCTACAACACCACTTGCCTTCGGGGCATTCGCCTAGGAAGCACGGTTTGGTTTTTGCTCCAACACCGGAACAGTTTAATCCTCCGTGATGTGGCACTGGTGTGTTGCAATATCGTTTCAGAGTGCGACTTCCAGCTCCGCAGCTAACCGAACACGCATCCAGATTTCCAGACCATTGCGACCATCCGCCATCCACTGGGCAGTTCATTTTGCCACATGGTTGCTGATGAGTATAATTTCCAATACAAATCTTTCCACCATAGTCTGGGGTCGGAGAGTTGCACGATCGATTTCGGACTTGAGTTCCTTCACAGCTTGCGTTGCACTGGCTGTATGGTGACCAATTGGACCATTGACCATCCACAGGACATGGTTTAGTTTGACAACTGATGGTCTGGTTGTGGAGACCAGTACACCCGGTCCCGCCATGTGCTGGAGTGGGATTGGTGCAAGATCTCACGATAAGCTGCTGGCCGCCTCCGCAACTTACTGAACATGCACCTATCGCTGTCCATGGTGACCAACCACCATTCACGGGACAACTGCAATTTTGAAGCTGTTGCGAATGTCCAGTGCACAGGGCTCCACCATTGGTGCAGGTGCGGCTGCGTTGTTTTGAACAACCTCCTCCTGACACACTAAAACATTGCCCGTAGCTCGTCCAGCTTGACCACCCACCATCTGCGTGGGATATATGCAACCAGACAAAAATCATTAGAGAATCCAGGAAGAGGGAGAGAATTGCATTTAATTGAGAAGTCGGCGCGGAGACAAGTAACCTAATATCCATGGAATTAAAGTGAGCGCACTCATATCGCAATAATGAAGCTATAACTTAAGATTTAAATGTCGGTTTCATGTGATTATCATCAGAAATCATCATCACCAGGGCTCAAACAGTTAGTCCGATTAACCAGTCTAAGATCAGTTTTGAAAAGATAACGGTTGACGGTTTGTGTAAGGGTTATGCTCAGCATAACCTGGTACTTTTTTTTACTTTTTTTCATCAGCTGGTACTTTTTCGAGTTTTCGAAGTAGAGTGTCAATTCTTGTTGGCTGAGTTTTTACGAAATATACAAGAAACGTTGTTCTTTTCGAACGGCCATGTCTGAGTTAGAGGTGTCAATAGTTTTGTGCTGCCGCATGCGTTTGTTTCTCATTCTTAAGCTGCTAAATTGCCCTTGGACGTAGAAACATCTTTTCCAAATTGTTATTCCAAAATGCCTCCAAGGCGCATATCCCCTTTCGCTGCTGAGTTGAGTCAGCAGCGGGAATGTATGCGGGAAAAATATGAGGCCGAGAGGGAGGAGAGTGACCTCAGGATCCGGCTGTTGGGAGGCGGGCTGAGGGAGGTAGACGAGGGCAACGGCGATTCGTCCGCATCCTCGTCCCACAGCAAAGTAAGAGGCCGTCAAGCGTCATCGCCACCATCTGCGCCATTATGTTAGTGTTCATCATCGCCAACGCCGTCGTCGTCGTCACACTCATCGTTGTATTCTTCTCCACACGAACCCAGCTCGCGACACAGATGGCGAGTCCATAAATCTAAAAATCAAGTCGAGGAACGTGGAACAGCTCCGCCTAAAGGCCTTGGAATACGAGGTCGTACGAAGACCAACACGCTTCAACGCAGGACTACAACGGACCTGTTGTTGCAGATGTGCATGGCCACGAGGCAGCAAGTCGTTTCCAGAAGGGGGTGAAATGGTCGTCATCATGGCTTCTTCTTCGAAATCTGATAAGCTGATGGCGGCCATCCAGAGCACTAGGCAGAAGCTCCCCCCCCCCCTCCCCTAGCTAGGCAGCCCTTTCGACCTGGTGTCCCAGCCACCACTTCCAGGGGCTGGGGCACACCACCGATCCACATCACCCCGGGCATCACAGCCTCCCCTGCCCCTGGAGCTCCTCCCCCCCCCTCCCCAGACCTCCGAGGCTTGCATGCGACCGCTGCGGCAGCGCTGCCCACTTCGTAAGAACTCAGGATGTTGAAGTAGGTAACCTAGCTAAAAATATTAGTTTTTGGCGCATGATACTAGGTTCATTCAAACTATCGTCTTGCCTGGTTATGCCCTCCCATTCGTGGAAATCCCACAAGCAAAGGAATTTCCAAATCACCGTAGTGCGTATGAAAATGCTGAACTCGCTAGCGACGCCGTGGAAAGTCCGCTGGAGCTGGGTTGCATTCAGGAGGTACAACGAGAAGATGATTGTGGTATTTGTCTTTGCCATTGTTCACAACGCCCAGAAGATGACACGGCGACGACATAGCTCGATTGCGACGTACGTTTCGTCCCCGCTGGACTCATCAGGCAATCTTCTTCTTGGATGTCTTCATACAGAGCTTGACTCGGGAGAATGAAGTTGAAGACACCACTGCAGCTGTACTTATGGTTGCTAAATATGGAGAGCTCTCTGCCAGAACCTTTCAGCTTAGAGCGCGTGTGTGGGCCGGCGTTTGTTTACCGCAATATTGCCAGATGTGTCTTTACCACCATATCTATGTCGTTGCTGTGTCATCCTTTAGGTGCCATGCGCTACTTGATGTACTAGCCTGTTATGTCGGATGCCGCCAACCATGCATCGACTAGGCGCCAGGCGTGAACTGATGGTGGTGGTGGTGAGAAGGAGAGCTCTGTGCCAGAACGTTGCAGCTTAGAGAGCGCGTGTGGGCAGGCGTGTGCTTACCGCCATATTGCCAGGTGTGTCTTTACCACCATATTTAGCAACCATAAGTACAGCTGCAGTGGTGTCTTCAACTTCATTCTCCCGAGTCAAGCTCCGTATGAAGACATCTAAGAAGAACATTGCCTGATGAGTCCAGCGGGGACGAAACGTACGTCGCAATCGAGCTATGTTGTACCAGCCTGCTATGTCGGATACCGCCAACCATGCATCGACTAGGCGCCAGGCGGGAACTGATGGTGGTGGTGGTGGTGGTGAGATGGAGAGCTCTGTGCCCGAAGTGTGCAGCTCAGAGAGCCTGTGTGGGCAGGCGTGTGTTTACCGCCATATTGCAAGGTGTGTCTTTACCACCATATTTAGCAACCATAAGCACAGCTGCAGTGGTGTCTTCAACTTCATTCTCCCGAGTCAAGCTCCGTATGGCGACATCCGAGAAGAAGATTGCTTGATGAGTCCAGCGGGGACGAAACGTACGTCGCAATCGAGCTATGTCGTTGCTCTGTCATCTTCTATGTGCCATGCGCTACTTGATGTACCAGCCTGCCATATCAGATACCACCAACCATGCATCGACGAGGCGCCAGGCACGAACTGATGGTGGTGGTGGTGAGAAGGAGAGCTCTGTGCCAGAACTTTGCAGCTTAGAGCAGTGGCGGATCCAGGATCCGAAACAAGGGGGGGGGGCACACTACAGGCTCAATGGAACAAGTTTACTTTTACAATGACTTTTGTGATACTCGAACATGTAAATGTATGGGCACTATTGGTATAATATAACAATCAGCAATTGTACCAACCAAACGGAAAAAGACCTGTTTTATGATGTTTGTGATGTTTTATGAATTGATGTACAGTCAACTTCGCTTATAACGACACTCGGCGGGGCATCAGAAAATGTCCTTATTCGCGAAGTGTCGTTATACCCGAAGTCTCATTGTTATGTGTCACAGTTGGATGGGACTTTGCTCTGGGCATGAAAATTATGTCGTTATTCGCGAATTGTCGTTATATCCGCAGTCGTTATTAGCGAAGTCGACTGTAATTATTTAGTTCAAGTTGTATAGTAAAATGATTAATTTCTAATGCTGGTATGCAAGTGTGAAATACTCGTACTATTAGTTCAGCTATCAGCAGTGATTGCGTTGGAAAGCAGCATACGCCTGGGCTTCATCCGTGCAAACCGGTCGATGACGGCATCCACATCCAGGTCGATGTCCTTATGGACGAAGAGTAGAATCAGGTCGTTGAGACGCTGATTGCCCATGGTGCTGCGCGATAACTTGTTGGTTCGAACTGTCATCGTCCTCCATCACTTCCAGTTCAACTGCATTCTGACAATCCATGTCCTCGGCTGACGACGCTGCGATCTGCTCCGTGGGGGGACTGGACTCTACGACATTTACAACATCCTCACGAGCGGCACATCCACTAGCAGCTGTCCTAGCTTCCTTCGCAGGTGGCAGCGAATCAAACAAGGTAAGTTGCTTCCTTCTCTTCATTTTCGCACTGCTGTAAAACAACAACGAGGTTCTGGAACGCCAAGGCAAGTGAAGTTTGCAAGGCAAGGGCAGGAAAATCTATGCATTGCCATTCGAAGTTTTGGACTGTGTACTTGCACTTGTACCGTCTTTGTTTTCGTACTACGAGTACAGTGCAGTACTAGACCAAAACCGTAGTTCTGGTGCGCACGGATCGCGGATCGCGGAATACAGATCGACGCGACGAGAGTTGACAGTTCACAAGTTCAGTACACGCGTACCGCGTATCGATCTACGGACCCGGTGCACCAGTGCATGAATGTGTACTGTGCATGCAGTACAGCGACTGGGCCTTGTCATCTACACGGGAAGTGCGCGCGAGCTCGGTTTCGATCGAGATCAGTAAAAAAAAAAGTCGGTCGGCGCTTCTGAAGGGGGGGGGGGGGGGCAGGTGCCCCCTTCGCCCCCCTCTAAATCCGCCACTTTAGAGGGCGTGTGTGGGCAGGCGTGTGTTTACCGCCATATTGCCAGGTGTGTCTTTACCACCATATTTATCAACCTCTAATCAGTTGTTCCGACAAACCGACCGAAACGACTGTTCACGAAAGTGCACTAATTTTTGGTTTCGAGCCCTTGAAATCCTAAAAATGTTACGGCTTCTAAAGGAGTCGCTGCCCCCCTCGACTCGCTGCCATTGAACACCTCAGACACTGCTTCTGATTTCTGCCACCAGAAAAGTGGCAGCCCTCTGCTACTATCCTGTTTGTGAAGCTACCACCCTCCATTGAACTTGCTTCCTCTATTACCTGATTCTATTTCCAGTGTGGGAGGTGATCGTGCTCGGAGCACGTCTTCCAATGCCTGGCAGTAGAAGGCTGTGGAGGTGCTGAAGCGGTGGAACAAGGAGTGGAAAAGCAGCATTGTATGAAGCCACGCAGGTAACTCGTACAGCTCTACGGAACAAAGTAAACAATCTGAGAATGAGAATGTAAAATGTGTCAGCGTAGAGAGACCGTGTAGGGAGGGCATCGACAGAACTTTGGCGTTTCCTCAGTTACAGTGTGTAGGGGATGATCTGCGTGCGGTTCTGCTGGGCGTGATGAATGACACCGTCACACGAAGGTTGCCAGGAAGTGAAACCCATAGCACTGCACTGCAAGCAAAGCGCCTCTGATCTGCTGCAGAACGGGAAACAGGTGCATACGGGCCCATGGCCGATTGGAACGTTGACACAGGTAAGAAAGCTGGATATAGCAAGAGTAGTCACCCAAGCCTGCGAACTCATTGTACTGGTACCCACATTTCTGAGAATCGTCATCTGTTGGTTCCCCACTGCGCCACTTCACCTCGTCTATACGTAGTGACGTATTATGCGTTAGCCATTTCCATCTATTCGCGGTTTTATGAAGTCCAGCCCAAATCTGACATGTTCGACCACAGTCACCACACTGAAAGTTTTTAACTGGATCACAGGCAACACAAGTAGTAATAGCGCTGTCGGCACATTTCCTCTCAACATCAGTCTGTACTGTCGAAAGATTTCCTCTCAACATCAGTCTGTACTGTCGAAAGATTTCCTCTCAACATCAGTCTGTACTGTCGAAAGATTTCCTCCAAGTTGGGCGCAACGCTTCTGAGAATCTGTGAAATTCTTCACGTCTGTGAAGAGCTTCATCTCAACCTGCTTTCCTCCGATTGCACCACATGCTGTCCAACCTACACAATTGTATCGAAATCAATGTCATTGAAAATAGGATAAGCAAAGGGTAGTCATTTTTCAACTCTGCAGTATTTCAATAGCGGGTCCACCCCAACTGCTAGCCGTTCTGCCAACACGTCCTCTCTTTCTCTCTCTCTCTCTCTCTCTCTCTCTCTCTCTCTCTCTCTCTCTCTCTCTCTCTCTCTCTCTCTCTCTCTCTCTCTCTCTCGCTCTCTCTCTCTCTCTCTCTCTCGCTCTCTCTCTCTCTCTCTCTCTCTCTCTCTCTCTCTCTCTCTCTCTATTTCTCTCTCTCTCTCGCTCTCTCTCTCTCTCTAGTTCTCTCTCTCTCTCTCTCGCTCTCTCTCTCTCGCTCTCTCTCTCTCTCTCGCTCTCTCTCTCTCTCTCTCTCTCGTTCTCTCTCTCTCTATATATCTATCTCTCTATCTATCTTTCTCCTTCTCTCTCTCTGCTCGCTCACTCGCACACTCTCTTGGTCCCTCTCTCGATTGAAAAAATAAAAGACCGTCTCCGATTAGAAGACCGGGCCTACTAAATGAGTCTTTGTTCTTGTGTTAAAAATAGAAGACCGTGCTCAAACTGTGGGAAAAAATAGAAGACCGTGCTCAAACAGTGGGAAAAAAATAGAAGACCGTGCTCAAACTGTGTAGAAGAAAATGGAAGAATGGGTGTAAAACTGTGTGGCGAGAAATGGAAGACCGGGGTCAAACTGGGTTGAAAGAATAAAAGACCGTCCTCGATTATAAGGCCGGGTTAGGACGAGGTTGAAAAAATAGTAGACCGGCCTACTATTTGTGGAAATACGGTATTACCGGATCAACGTTTTGGCTACCACCAACACGTGTTTCCTACTGTGCTAGACATGACTGTGTGCCTGCAGTTTTGTACACAAACTGTATCAAAGTCCATGATAACACCGGACCAGTCAAAAACTGTTTCCGGCGCTCCCGCACATCTAACCATGCAACGACAACGAGCAGGAACCCCCACTTACCGACTTGCCATGCGTACGTGATGGCCGGAGCGGCGTTGCCGTAGAAGTCAACAGCCACCACTGCAAAGATGTGATTGAACTGGAATGACAAGGATGCACATGAATAACAAACACGCCTGCGCTTGTAGTTGTTGCACTTTCTGACTCTGTATACTGTATAAGACCTTTGTTTCAGTGTAATTTAAATTTCGGTAACTTCGGTACTGGTCCTGGATCACCTTATTTAACACTACACCTAAATTTTCCAAAATACCAAAAATATGTAAAAATCGTGAAAATCAGTGTCAAATTAAAAAAATCAACTTGTATACTGCACTGGTACATGGTATGGTACATGAACATTATACATGTCGTTTTTTTGTTTGCTTTTTTGGTGCCATGCACACCGAATTTATCCTTACACCGAAAGGTCAGGGGTTGGCTTTTACCAAGATTTTACAACACCAAACATAAGGTGATATACAGTAGTATTCATGGTAAGAGTGTACAAACTTTCAGCCCATTCAAATTTCGCCCTTCCAGGACTAAAACCCATTTTTTCTGTCCACACTTCCTGGAGACGCACCAAAAGAATGCACCAAGTGCACTGAGATTCCTTAGATGCCGCACTGGTGAGCAATGGTTTCAACTACAAAAGTACAAGGCTAACCGTTGCACCTCATCATCCCGACGCAGCGGCGTCGGACACTGTACGGTCACTACGGTATTGACCGTACCAAGTTTTGCCGTAGGTACCCCGTGAATCAATGAAATACACTGACCTGCGTTCTAGATTTTCGAAATTTTCAGCTCAGCCACCCCTCCCTGACGAGTAAATTGTAGTTGAGATGGGTGACCGTACTAGACTAAATATAGCTTTCCATGCCCCTGAGCCATACATATACATGTATGCCTCTGTACACAATTGTACAAGCAAACACATGCACACCTTGACCTTGACCTTGACCTTGACCTTGACCTTGACCTTGATCTTGCCCATTGCGTACGCAATGATAGCGAATGTCGGAAAGTTCAAGTGAGAACACGAGCGCACATGCACACACACACACCCACCCACCCACCAACCCACCCTAACACCTACCCACCCACCCACCCACCCCCACACACACCCACACCCCCCCCCCCCCTCACACACACACACACACACACACCCACGCACGCACTCACGCACGCACGCACACACACACACGCACGCATACACTCGGGCACACAAAGGCCGATACGGGAGTCACAGGATCCTTACCGAATTCGTTAGATTCTGGAGAGTCCATCGGTATCTACCGGCCGTTGGTACAGGCGTACAGTTGAACTGAGCACCGTTATCCAGACTGCAGAAGAACTGCGGTGGTCTTGCTGCTGGCTCGGTGGTGGTCCACTCAAATGTGGCACTGTCAATAGCTATCGCTTTCTGCAGTGGAACAAGTGAACAGGAGGCAAAGCAGATTAACCAGATGCAAACATAATATCATTTTCGCATCGAAGCGGATCAAGCTTCTACAGGAGCTGGAGTGGTGTGTCATTCGGCAAGGAGCACATCCATTGTCGCAGGTCAATATACTTCTTCTGGTCTGCCATGGTAATGGACACAGCTTTTGCAATGCTGTAATGGGTCGATATCTTCAACTCAACGCCCGGAAATGGTCCGACCAGCAGGACTCACTACGACAGTAGGTAGTTTATATCTCAATATAGGTGGGATATTGTCCGCGTGCGGCTTACTTGTCTCGCCAAACTCAGTCCAGTGTCAAGTTTGACAGGAAGTGTGAGCTTCACGGAGCAGCTGCCCGTTGTGTCCACTCAGTAAAGAGTTTCAGGGTATGGCTTGAAAGAAATTTCAACCTGTGTGTCTCCCATGGACAACTTACCGATGGTGTCTGGGTGAAGGTTGTGTTGGGAGGTATACGATCTACAAGCAGCAAAGGAAAAGATATGACACCAAGGTCACCACAACAGGGATGCACAAAAGCTTTATTGCTTTCTTTAAAGGGGAAGTGCATCGATTTTGAAGTAGGGTTCAGACGAAAGACAAATTTTTTACCGTATGCAAGCGAGAGATACGCCATTCGAACCGATATCTAATGGTCTTTCATCTGAGCCCTACTTGAAAAATCGATGCACTTCTCCTTTAAAAAGAATAGAAAGTGGTAGACACAGTAAAACCTGGTGTAGACGACCTCTGGTTTTAGCAACCACCTGCTCTCAACAACCGTTTTCCATGCACGGACAGTTCTACACAGACACTGTGGGACCTGGTGCTAAAGACCACCTGGCTTTAGCAACCGCTTTTGCTTGCACCGTGGGGTGGTCGCCTAAACCAGGTTTTACTGGGCAACAAATGAACAAGCATGCAAACACACGCATGTACATGCACACACAGACACGCACACACGCATGTACACACACATATAAACATACGCCCACGCACCCCCACCCCACCCAAAACACAAACACGGACATGCACACACGTGCACAACAGATACTTACCGATGCTCCAGCTGTACTGCAGCTCGTCAGGGCCCACTCCCACGTTGGTGGCGTTGTCCGTAGCGACCACTCGGAACGTGTGACGCTCCACACGGCCGACGGCAGTCAGTGAGGTGTACGTAATCGGGCTGAACGGGCATAATCAAGGAGAGGATAACAAAACACAATGGGTTAAATGCATCCTAGTAAACCCAGGTGCTCGAAGTCCGTACACTTTTACAGTGTGTGTTTGCCGAGCTGAAACTCACACTAGCAATGATCACTTGCCAGAATCCTGCTCGTGGATGGAAGGTATCTTGTCCAAGTTTGTTCTGAGGCCAGGCTCGATTGCACCAGGCCATCTTTCGATCCGATCTGTTTCTCTGGAGTTCGCTATCAAATTTTGGTGTCGCAGAGGGTGCTCTAAGTCCGTACTGATCAGAGGTGACTCGAAATACACACATATTTCTACTAATTGCTAACTTGCAATCCCTCGGTTACGACGAAAGCACCGAAGGGATATGCTTGGCATGTGCCTCCACCAGTATTTCTTGCAAAAGCGTAGTTTGTTGCCGAAATGCAAGCTGTTTTTAGTCAGCTCAGAGAAGAAGCAGCCGCGCTGTGAAAACCGCCGGAAAATAGTGGTGGAGATGCCAGGAGTGTCAACCTTTCTGCAAGGATTGGTGGTTCTCTGTAAATTCTACTCCTCTGGCCATTCTCAGCTCTAAGCTGGCTCTTGATGATTGAGTGAAGGTCTGTTTGACGCTGTGTCCGTTCGAAATCGGTCTTGGCAAAGTTGATTTTTGCATGAAATGTAACCCAATTTGTATTTCGTATGGACACTCGAAAACCCACTCGCGTGGAATGGGACTTCTGCTTATCGTAGATCCCTGAAAATTGCTATGCGAGGAGAACATTGGATACCTACAGAGTATCCGAGATATTCAGGCAGAAGTTCATCGTTCTGGTCTGGAGGTCTCGGAATGGGCACGCAAGTTCTGATCTGCAAGCCCTCCTAGTTCCTTCGTCAGCTGGCCCAACTAGGTTGCACTCCACCATGGGTCTGCTCCAACCGCCAGTTTCCACCAGGTTCGGCAAGGGTTGCCTCGCGTTCCGGGGCGCCCAGCTGTGGAACACCTTACCCAGCGATATACGTGCCATCTCCACGCTCCGCCAGTTCCGCGCCAGCATGATCCCGCACACCCTTAGTACCTAGAGTACCAAACGTCCTGTTTGATGATCAGCTGGCTTAGTTTTTCTCCACCTCTATCCTAATTACATCAGTCCCCAATTTCATTTTATTACTGCTTTCTATCTGCATTCGCCACTTTTTCATTGGGCAGATCTGCCCGTTTCGTTTGCGAATTAAAATACACACAACAACAAAAAACAACATACCAAACTGTCCCCTCCATTAAATATTTGAGTCGAATACAATAACAGAACATGAAATTATGGGCGTACGAACTTAGGATACCATGTACGGACTTCGAGCACCTGGCTCTACACACTGCAGCACCTTGTGTGTACACACACAGTCGACTTCGCTAATAAAAAATAGAATAAAAAAATAAAATGTCACGGTTCGCGTGAGACTCGGCTGGAAGCCCAGTTTTCTGCATCCGTCGTGGGAACGCAACCACCGTCTAGGATCAAAGGCGCTAATAAAGACTGCGGATATAACGACAATTCGCGAATAACGGCAGATTTCCCATGCCCAGAGCAAAGTCCCATCTAACTGTAATACATATAATGAGACTTTGGGTATAAGGACACTTCGCGAATATAAAGGACACTTTTTTGCTGCCCCGCTGAGTGTCGTTATACGCAAAGTTGACTGTTTTCAGATTTTTTCGTAGCCTGATCAGACAGTAAGGTACTTTTGGCATGTCAAAGGTGGGTCGTTTGTGCTTCTTTTGACACGAAATGTGTATAGTATTGGATACAGACTGAGTGTGTTACAGCCTTAAGTCATCGAAGGATAGCCTTCGATTTCTTGACAGTCTGTACGGGCGCCAACGGGTTAAAGTCAATTTTAAGTTACAGCTACTCTGCCTCCGACCTCCGTTGTAGTGGTGTAACTTTATGACTTGTATAGTGGTGTAACTTTATGACTTGTATAGTGGTGTAACTTTATGACCTGTATAGCGATGTAACTTTATGACTTGTATAGTGGTGTAACTTTATGACCTGTATAGTGGTGTAACTTTATGACTTGTATAGTGGTGTAACTTTATAATCTGGAGTGGTGTAACTTTATAACCTGTAGTGGTGTAACTTTATGACCTGTATAGTGGTGTAACTTAATGACCTGCATAGTGGTGTGAGACAACGAGCACTGCCAACACATTCTTACCTGACACACGGGGTGAGCGGGGCGTTGTCAAGACTACACTGCATGGTGCAGTTGTACAGCGGGCAAGGGTTGCGGATGATGGTCGTGTAGTGGCCGAAGGCATCCGTGCGCTCCGGGAACTTGTCGATGGAATGGAAGGCGAATGTCATCGACCTGCAGTGCACACATATCACAGCATGCATATTTGCTATTATTGTTTATCGACAGCTCGAACCGCCTCTTGTACGGGCAAAAACTTAAAACAATTCATTGAAGACCGGCAGGTTCGGGCTGTCCGCCTTCTCCGTGAGAAAAATATACAAAATTAAAATACAGGAAACAACATTTAAGCTGTGTGGACCCTGGCTAACGCCAGACGTTACAGAAGTAGCGTCTTCTGCATAGCTACGGGAATACAACTACCATAACACATGGATCAAAAAGCAATGAGAGAGTAAAACACTGTACACTTGATGACAAAAATTTGCTAACAGACAAAACCCAAACATGGGAATGGAAACTGCACATCCACAAGGGCTCCTTGTAACAATTTCGGAGGATGTGAACGTCAAGCAGGTTCTGACAACCTACAGCATCTGCATGCGATCTAAGAGGAGACAGCAAGTTGGAGGCTTGCACAGGCCTTGCAGCCACGTGCCTGCATGTGCATACAAAAGCTATCGACCCCGCTTGTTTTTCTTGATCCATTGCAAATTGCCTTCCCGGATAATTTCTATCTAGCTGTTTCTGGCTAGTACCAGTTCTATCACACTTATCAATTTTCCTTATTGGCGTCACGCCATCTTGGGATAAAAGAATAATAAAAAAAGAATAAAGAACTGTTCAGTGTACAGTTATAAATGAGATTACATTAATAAAAAATTCGACGGGTTCGCGTACCGGGCAGGTCAAGAACAAGGAGTCGTACAACTCTCTGGTCAAGAACCACCTTTCCGCTTGAGATCTCAATAGTACAGTCAAAACCTGTCAAGGTGACCACTTGGATAAGGCCACCACATGTTATGAAGGACCACTGAAACCAAGACCAAGGGATGCTGTGTCCACTCAAATGGCCCTGGACAAGGAGACCACCTGGTAACGGAGATCACGTTTTGAAGGTCCCTTGAGCGGTCGTCTTAGACAGGTTTCAATGTATACAGGTTTCCCGGTCTGACTTACGGTGAGTTGGTGGTTTCACCGTTGAGCGTGTTGGGTGTGGTGGAATCCAGAACAACATTCGGTGCCTCCAGATCTGGTGGCCGAGGCACACACACACACACACACACACACACACACACACACACACACACACACACACACGCACGCACGCGCACACACACACACACACACACACACACACACACACACACACGCGCGCACACACGCGCGCACACACACACACACAGAATAGGAAACAAGCATACAAATTGCTTAGGCCTCGGCCCCAATTGTATGGCTAGCCATCGGCACGGGTACATTATTCAACATTCTAGAGCGTGACGTTGAGGTCACCACTTGGAATTGAGGAGGAATGGGTGGTAAGACCTAGTTGACTCTCGGCCGACCTCAGACCTCACATTCACAGTGAACTACAGTTGTGCGTGGTAAAATCCGAGCCAGCTTGCACAATTCGCCAGCCCTCAATTTGCAACGACCTTCGATGGCCTGGAAGTGCAGGACAGCCGGAAGCGGGTTTTCAATTGGTCCGGTCCTACCAGAGTCTTTCATCCAGTTTGTGTATAATATGGCGGGGACGTATGCCTTGCTCAGCGGTAAACATGTTTTGGTAGTTACAAAGTCGGTGGTCCGGTGATAACCTGACCAACCGGCCCGGTTCCGGCAGACATGAAGAGGCATGGATGCGGCTGGACGTGCACATGTACAACTACAACCAGGTATTAAAGCCACTCACCGACAGTGAAGTCGTGGCGCTGCGAGGCACCTTGGTTACCGGCAGCGTCGATGGCCTTTACCTGCATCGTGTACGGTCCCTCAAATAGACCAGTTGAGGGTACTCCCTGGACCGGGGACGCAGCAGAAGCTGTTCACACGATAGTATGACAAGCAACACAAAACAAAACAAAAACAAAATGTCATGGTTCGCTTCAGTCTCGGCTAGAGGTCGGGTTTTGCGCATGCGTAGGCACGTCACCACCCTTCAAGAAACAACACAAGGCATGCGTAGGCACGTCACCACCCTTCAAGAAACAACACAAGGCATGCGTAGACACGTCACCACCCTTCAAGAAACAACACAAGGCATGCGTAGACACGTCACCACCCTTCAAGAAACAACACAAGGCATGCGTAGACACGTCACCACCCTTCAAGAAACAACACAAGGCATGCGTAGGCACGTCACCACCCTTCAAGAAACAACACAAGGCATGCGTAGGCACGTCACCACCCTTCAAGAAACAACACAAGGCATGCGAAGACACGTCACCACCCTTCAAGAAACAACACAAGGCATGCGTAGACACGTCACCACCCTTCAAGAAACAACACAAGGCATGCGTAGGCACGTCACCACCCTTCAAGAAACAACACAAGGCATGCGTAGACACGTCACCACCCTTCAAGAAACAACACAAGGCATGCGTAGGCACGTCACCACCCTTCAAGAAACAACACAAGGCATGCGTAGACACGTCACCACCCTTCAAGAAACAACACAAGGCATGCGTAGACACGTCACCACCCTTCAAGAAACAACACAAGGCATGCGTAGGCACGTCACCACCCTTCAAGAAACAACACAAGGCATGCGTAGGCACGTCACCACCCTTCAAGAAACAACACAAGGCATGCGTAGACACGTCACCACCCTTTAAGAAACAACACAAGGCATGCGTAGACACGTCACCACCCTTTAAGAAACAACACAAGGCATGCGTAGGCACGTCACCACCCTTCAAGAAACAACACAAGGCATGCGTAGGCACGTCACCACCCTTCAAGAAACAACACAAGGCATGCGTAGGCACGTCACCACCCTTCAAGAAACAACACAAGGCATGCGTAGGCACGTCACCACCCTTCAAGAAACAACACAAGGCATGCGTAGACACGTCACCACCCTTCAAGAAACAACACAAGGCATGCGTAGACACGTCACCACCCTTCAAGAAACAACACAAGGCATGCGTAGGCACGTCACCACCCTTCAAGAAACAACACAAGGCATGCGTAGGCACGTCACCACCCTTCAAGAAACAACACAAGGCATGCGTAGGCACGTCACCACCCTTCAAGAAACAACACAAGGCATGCGTAGACACGTCACCACCCTTCAAGAAACAACACAAGGCATGCGTAGGCACGTCACCACCCTTCAAGAAACAACACAAGGCATGCGTACGCACGTCACCACCCTTCAAGAAACAACACAAGGCATGCGTAGACACGTCACCACCCTTCAAGAAACAACACAAGGCATGCGTAGACACGTCACCACCCTTCAAGAAACAACACAAGGCATGCGTAGACACGTCACCACCCTTCAAGAAACAACACAAGGCATGCGTAGACACGTCACCACCCTTCAAGAAACAACACAAGGCATGCGTAGACACGTCACCACCCTTCAAGAAACAACACAAGGCATGCGTAGGCACGTCACCACCCTTCAAGAAACAACACAAGGCATGCGTAGGCACGTCACCACCCTTCAAGAAACAACACAAGGCATGCGTAGACACGTCACCACCCTTCAAGAAACAACACAAGGCATGCGTAGACACGTCACCACCCTTCAAGAAACAACACAAGGCAAAACAGTTTAAAAATAGTCATACATTGCACATGATATTTCCACGTTTCACTTCCTACATCGGTATGAATTGCAGGGCTGCCACTTGTTCCGGTTTTTCGGAAATACTCCGATTGCTCCGACAAGCCGACCGAACAGATGCTACACTATCTTACTTGGGTTGTGGACTAAAATGCAAAAATACGAGGAGTTTCAGGCCCTCAAGATACCAAAAATGATTCGGTCTCTACAGGGGGGGGGGGGAGAAACTGCCCCCTTTTACTCCTCTTGACCCTCCGGCCAGAGGTCACCCCTTCATATTATAACGCACAGAAAATTGGCAGTCCTGGAATTGTGTGTGTTCAGCTTCAACGAGTTGCTATTTCACACAAGCAGGACAAATTGAGCCCCCACCCCTCTCTCCGTGTGAAAATGTGGAGAGATACGATTATGTTAGTCTGGATGGGGACGCGGCGAGCACTCACAGACATCAGTTGTTTGAAAGCATGCGAAGCTGATTGGCCGTGTGCCGGGCAAGGCAAGCTGGCAGCTGTACGACAGACCGCCGATTTGAGTACCTAGATGCAGGGAAAGAGCAAGAGAGGCAATGGAAAAGATTTAAATACGCCCAGAAGGTAGTAGGTACATGCATGTGCATGAAAAAAGACACTCAATGTCCGCACAGATATACATGATAAGAAAAAGGTGAAAGAGATAATATCCCGTTCACGCCATGTGAATGAGTGAAGACCCGTGATTCTTACACTTGCTGGGTCATCCAATACCGGTAAAATCCATCACACACAAACATAAGCACCGTGATTGCGTTGCAATGCATACACAGACAAGCACTAAGTCAGTTATCCTACCTGCGAATGTGAACTGAAACCGTCACACAATACTATGAACTTATGCTCAGTCATTCTGCCGCGACGCGCGCACACACACACGCACACACGCACGCACGCACGCACGCAAGCACACACACACCAACACACACTGGGTCATCCTACCTTCGACTGTAAACTGGAACTGGGGCATTCTGGTGTTGGTCTGCAGCTTGGGCTTGACGGCTATTTGAGGCTTGGGTGGTGGTGTTGTGTCTAAAAATGAGACATAGACAGAACAGCACACACGCACAAACACATGCAAAGAGTGGTACGGTCAATACCGCAGTAACCGTAGCGTGTTCGACACCTCTGATACGAAATCTGGTGACACAGTCTCACACAGCAGTATACTGCAGGAACCTTACCAACGCGCCACTGGAAGACGGACGTGGTGGAGTTCACGCCAAACGCGTTTGTGTAGTTCACCGGTCGGCGCACGTTCATCAGTGTCTGGATGTTGCCAGCCCTGTCCGTAACCTGGATCTGCAGAGTATGCTCCCCCTGCATACACGCACACACACACACACACATAAATAAAGAAGTAGATCATCGTGTCCGTTCCCAGGGGAACTCACAACAGCCGCTTAAAAAATGAAAATGAAGTTTGCACATCTGCGTTACCACCGGCTTACGATTGTGTTGAGAAACACAAGCAGCTTAGAGTTTGGATCGTGCCAGGCCATCACCATTCCTAGTTCTACCAGGGTGGCAGATGCTAACACACGGTAAATCTAGCCGCGGGCTGCTGCATGGCCTAACGGTTGAGCAATTGCTACGGGGCAAGCAGATGACGATTCATGATCACACGACAGTCACACAAACGTATTGTGGAAGGGACATAATAGCATAGGCATAGGCATAGGCATCTATACACTGTACAACAGTCTACAAGAAAAAAGTCAAAGATTTTCCAAACCAAAAACGTTTTCGTTCCCTTTCTCATCATGGGCCCAAAGAGGAAATAGAGCGACATGACTGAAGCACCCGTAACCCCTTCTTTGGATTATTGGTGTGTGTAATGGCTACTAAGGGTAGTCGCCTGAGCACGCTTGGAGGAGAAGAAAAGGAGAGATTGATGCATGACTAAAACAGCAACTATTTAGGAAAATGGGACATATGAAAGCTTATCAAACCCATTTGAAAAGTGTAGGATGAATTCAGCTCACCTCTGCTAGTCCAGTGTAAGGCTTGGTGGGACAGGCGGTAAAGAGACCGGATCCGTCAAGGCGACAAGTAAAGTCAACTTGCCTGCAAACACCACACATGCGCAGGACGAGAAAGAATGCTATTGAACGGCAACCCGGCACACCATAGGCGAAAGTTCGTTCTGTTGGCTCTTGATCTTTTTTCCTGGTAATGTTCTTATCTCGATGCTAATCATATTTTCATGTGGATGCGTGTATACAAGGTGTGTGCGTGCGTGGATGTTTGCGTGCGTGCGTGTGTGTGTGTGGAATACATGTCTACACACACACACACACACACACACACACGTACACATGTACGCACGCATCCACGCAAACACACATATACCCGCGCACCTGCACGCACATACCTCCCCCCCCCCACACACACACTCACACACACACGCATGCATTACGGCACGTGCTATCTTGCGCAAGCGCTTACCCCGGTTCGTCAGTCGTGAAGGTGAAACTAGCCGCAGTCTTGTTCGTGTACCGCGGTGGTAGAGACAGAAACGAACTACCCAGTGTTGGCGTCCACACTATTGGTTTCTTCCCGTCTGAACATGAGAACAAGATGAGAACAAGATGGGAACAAGATGGGAACAAGATGGGAACAAGATGGGAACAAGATGGGAACAAGATGGGAACAAGATGGGAACAAGATGGGAACAAGATGGGAACAAGATGGGAACAAGATGGGAACAAGATGGGAACAAGATGGGAACAAGATGGGAACAAGATGGGAACAAGATGGGAACAAGATGAGAACAAGATGAGAACAAGATGAGAACAAGATGAGAACAAGATGAGAACAAGATGAGAACAAGATGAGAACAAGATGAGAACAAGATGAGAACAAGATGAGAACAAGATGAGAACAAGATGAGAACAAGATGAGAACAAGATGAGAACAAGATGAGAACAAGATGAGAACAAGATGAGAACCCAGATGAGAACAAGATGAGAACATAGAGAGATGTTGCAGCAATACACAGAGTTAGTTAGGCAGACATTTGTACCTAGCAATAACAAAATTTAATAATTCCCTTAAACCATTGAATAACAATTATGGGTTCAAACTAACTAAATTTCCTAACCGATTTTCATGACACCTTCATCAGGGACCTTCCCTGGTGAAGGTGTCATGATTATTACACGATGCGAAAACAATCTAAAAGGTAAGGAGAAATACATGTAAGAAGAAAACGATAATAGAGGGGTGTTCACATCTTTGTCACATGACTAGCTTTGCCGGGAAAGTGATCATGGCATGTGGACAGGACAAAGCAACATGGCCGACATGATGCATGACCACCCAACCTGGACAGGGTTGACTGGAGTTGGAACCTACTGTAGCGGACATGGAAATCCAGTCGATTGACCGGGGCCGGCGCCCTCAGCGCGTACATAACGCTGCGTGCAGTGCACATGTCATGTTGATCAGGCGACCAGCGCATAAATGCATGTGTGTACCGCTTGTCCACGGTTGCATGGCTGATGCTGATGCTGATGGCGATGATGCTGATGGCGGCCATCCAGAGCACTAGGGTGACCACAACAGGGGATGCACAAAAGCATTATCGCTTTCTTTAAAGGGGAAGTGCATCGATTTTGAAGTAGGGTTCAGACGAAAGACAAATTTTTTACCGTATGCAAGCGAGAGATATGCCATTCGAACCGATATCTAATGGTCTTTCATCTGAGCCCTACTTGAAAAATCGATGCACTTCTCCTTTAAAGGGGAAGTTAAGGCAAAAATTAAAATTTCACCAGTTGTAGTCTTCGGGGTGCTGAGTCGAATGGTCGTGGTCCGAGGAAGCTGAGACGCTCCCTTCCTACTTGAATCCCAATCGAACTCGCGCACTTTCACCGAAACTGGGTGACTGCGCGCTACTAGATGGGGATTTGTATGCAAAATGTCACTAAAAGCGCCATTTCGTTCTTATAAAAGCATGGATGACCGCGATTGGCCCATATGTTGTAGTCTTTTGGACGCTGAGTCGACTGGTTTTGGTCCGAAAAGGCTGCGATGCGGCGTTCCTCCTTTATTCCCAATCGAACATGGTTGAAGAAGCGGTCACGTGCTCCTGCGTACACCAGTCACCTGGTCACCGTGCCTGCAGGGTACAACTTACTAGCCTGTTTGACCTTTTTTGGGTGCAGTTCTGTCACTCGAGTTGAACTCGAGTTGAACCTTGGTGTGAAAGTTGTCACCTGCTGGCGTGGTGACCAGGTGATTTGAGCACCCAGCACCACGTGACCGCTTCTTCAACCATGTTCGATTGGGAATAAAGGAGGAACGCCGCATCGCAGCCTTTTCGGACCAAAACCAGTCGACTCAGCGTCCAAAAGACTACAACATATGGGCCAATCGCGGTCATCCATTCTCGGACCAAGACCATTCGACTCAGCACCCCGAAGACTACAACTGGTGAAATTTTAATTTTTGCCTTAACTTCCCCTTTAAAAAGAATAGAAAGTGGTAGATACAGTGAAACCTGGTGTAGACGACCTCTGGTTTTAGCAACCACCTGCTCTCAACAACCGTTTTCCATGCACGGACAGTTCTACACAGACACTGTGGGACCTGGTGCTAAAGACCACCTGGCTTTAGCAACCGCATTTCCTTGCACCGTGGGGTGGTCGCCTAAACCAGGTTTTACTGTGCAACAAATGAACAAGCATGCAAACACACGCATGTACATGCACACACAGACACGCACCCACGCATGTACACACACATATAAACATACGCCCACGCACCCCCACCCCACCCAAAACACAAACACGGACATGCACACACGTGCACAACAGATACTTACCGATGCTCCAGCTGTACTGCAGCTCGTCAGGGCCCACTCCCACGTTGGTGGCGTTGTCCGTAGCGACCACTCGGAACGTGTGACGCTCCACACGGCCGACGGCAGTCAGTGAGGTGTACGTAATCGGGCTGAACGGGCATAATCAAGGAGAGGATAACAAAACACAATGGGTTAAATGCATCCTAGTAGACCCAGGTGCTCGAAGTCCGTACACTTTTACAGTGTGTGTTTGCCGAGCTGAAACTCACACTAGCAATGATTACTTGCCAGAATCCTGCTCGTGGATGGAAGGTATCTTGTCCAAGTTTGTTCTGAGGCCAGGCTCAATCGCACCAGGCCATCTTTCGATCCGATCTGTTTCTCTGGAGTTCGCTGATTTTTCATATCACATTTTGGTGTCGCAGAGGGTGGTCTAAGTCCGTACTGATCAGAGGCGACTCGAAATACACACATATTTCTACTAATTGCTAACTTGCAATCCCTCGGTTACGACGAAAGCACCGAAGGGATATGATTGGCATGTGCCTCCACCAGTATTTCTTGCAAAAGCGTAGTTTGTTGCCGAAATGCAAGCTGTTTTTAGTCGGCTCAGAGAAGAAGCAGCTGCGCTGTGAAAACCGCCGGAAAATAGTGGTGGAGATGCCAGGAGTGTCAACCTTTCTGCAAGGATTGGTGGTTCTCTGTAAATTCTACTCCTCTGGCCATTCTCAGCTCTAAGCTGGCTCTTGATGATTGAGTGAAGGTCTGTTAGACGCTGTGTCCGTTCGAAATCGGTCTCGGCAAAGTTGATTTTTGCATGAAATGTAACCCAATTTGTATTTCGTATGGCCACTCGAAAACCCACTCGCGTGGTATGGGACTTCTGCTTATCGTAGATCCCTGAAAATTGCTATGCGAGGAGAACATTGGACACCTACAGAGTATCCGAGATATTCAGGCAGAAGTTCATCGTTCTGGTTTGGAGGTCTCGGAATGGGCACGCAAGTTCTTATCTGCAAGCCCTCCTAGTTCCTTCGTCAGCTGGCCCAACTAGGTTGCACTCCACCATGGGTCTGCGCCAACCGCCAGTTTCCACCAGGTTCGGCAAGGGTTGCCTCGCGTTCCGGGGCGCTCAGCTGTGGAACACCTTACCCAGCGATATACGTGCCATCTCCACGCTCCGCCAGTTCCGCGCCAGCATGATCCCGCACACCCTCAGTACCTAGAGTACCAAACGTCCTGTTTGATGATCAGCTGGCTTAGTTTTTCTCCACCTCTATCCTAATTACATCAGTCCCCAATTTCATTTATTACTGCTTTCTATCTGCATTCGCCACTTTTTCATTGGGCAGATCTGCCCGTTTGGTTTGCGAATTAAAATAAACACAACAACAAAAAACAACATACCAAACTGTCCCCTCCATAAAATATTTGAGTCGAATACAATAACAGAACATGACATTATGGGCGTACGAACTTAGGATACCATGTCCGGATTTCGAGCACCTGGCTCTACCCACTGCAGCACCTTGTGGGTACACATACAGTCGACTTGGCTAATAAAAAATAGAATAAAAAAATAAAATGTCACGGTTCGCCTGAGACTCGGCTGGAAGCCCAGTTTTCTGCATCCGTCGTGGGAACGCCACCACCGTCTAGGATCAAAGGCGCTAATAAAGACTGCGGATATAACGACAATTCCCGAATAACGGCAGATTTCCCATGCCCAGAGCAAAGTCCCATATAACTGAAATACATATAATGAGATTTTGGGTATAAGGACACTTCGCGAATATAAAGGACACTTTTTTTGCTGCCCCGCTGAGTGTCGTTATACGCAAAGTTGACTGTTTTCTGATTTTTTCGTAGCCTGATCAGACCCTAAGGTATTTTTGGCATGTCAAAGGTGGGTCGTTTGTGCTTCTTTTGACACGAAATGTGTATAGTATTGGATACAGACTGAGTGTGTTACAGCCTATTAAAGTCATCGAAGGATAGCCGTCGATTTCTTGACAGTCTGTACGGGCGCCAACGGGTTAAAGTCAATTTTAAGTTACACCTACTCTGCCTCCGACCTCCGTTGTAGTGGTGTAACTTTATGACTTGTATAGTGGTGTAACTTTATAACCTGTGGAGTGTTGTAACTTTATGACTTGTATAGTGGTGTAACTTTAAGACTTGTATAGTGGTGTAACTTTATGACCTGTATAGTGGTGTAACTTTATGACTTGTATAGTGGTGTAACTTTATGACCTGTATAGTGGTGTAACTTCATGACTTGTATAGTGGTGTAACTTCAGGGCTAGTACTTGTACAGAAACACGTGGGCGCCATCTTGGTTCACGTGACATGTGTCACACCATGCTGTGTACAGGGAATCTTGCCGTACTTCGCGTCGACTCTGGCCTGTTCAAATCCACGCAAGTGAGCCACAGTTCTCTCTAGCAGGCTGAGATTTTGCAGGCACGGAGTTCAGATGTGGGCAAAGGGATTCACCGAAGGATTTTTTGACTTTCGCAATTTAGACTTCAAATAACACCCTCAAACTCGGTAAACGTGTCCCACCTCTAGGATCGTTTTGGCGAAATTCGCGTCGGTGAAAGTATGGAGCATCTTCTACTGAAAATTTTGAGCCATCGATTGTCAAAATCGGCTGATGTGGAGCTCACTTGTGTCGTTTTGAAGGACACAGCGCCACGCGACTTGCGCTGGTTCTTTCACAAACGGAAGACACCAGTCAGAACTGCAGACTGTGACAGTGCAGTGCGCACGGCAAGGAAAAGAAGGAGACGTGCATTTTCCATTCGTTGCACTGTGTCCTTTGCTTTTATTGTTCACTGATACCATGTTCGCAAAATCTTGAGCTAGAGAGAAGACTGACTTACAATCTTATTCATCTAGGCTTCAGCGTGATGCACGTATTCCAGACCATAGGAAATATTGGGAAAGGAACCGGGAACCACGAGAATAATTTTTCTGGAGCGAATCCAATTATTACCATGGTTCCTTGTTCTTGAACACCGCGCTCCACCACATCGTCAATGTTTCTGCGACGGGTAAGGATTTCAGGACTACTGTCGGTTTGTTCGACCTCGGGGCGATCTGATCTACGTCCAGCTGGCCATGATACTGAGCCGAACTGGCCACTAGTTCGCTTCTTTCTCGACTCTGGATAATCAAGCCGTTTAGAGTGCGATTTCCTACCCTGGATGCGATCCATGGTGCGGACTGAAAATAACTACTGAACACCTCTTTGTACAAGCACTGACATACAAGACCGGTGGTGGATACAAACTGACCACAGGAAACCCTAACAGCACCCGCTCTGTCAAAGAAAGTCGAAGGGAAGTAGTTCGAACTAGTTCAAGCACCACCAAAAAATAAAAACTACAAAATAGCACTTGCTCTTGCAGCTAGGTCAAAGATCTGCACTGGCAAGTACACTTTTGCGCAGTCTCGACCTCGCGGCGATGACGTAGCGTGATTCAAGATGGCCTCTGACGTGTTCCCGTTTGGTGATCCCAAATACCAGCCCTGAACTTTAAAACCTGGAGTGGTGTAACTTTATAACCTGTAGTGGTATAACTTTATGACCTGTATAGTGGTGTAACTTTATGACCTGTATAGCGGTGTAACTTTATGACCTGTATAGTGGTGTAACTTTAGAACCTGTATAGTGGTGTAACTTTAGAACCTCAGTACCTGTATAGTGGTGTAACTTTATGACCTGCATAGTGGTGTGAGACAACGAGCACTGCCAACACATTCTTACCTGACACACGGGGTGAGCGGGGCGTTGTCAAGACTACACTGCATGGTGCAGTTGTACAGCGGGCAAGGGTTGCGGATGATGGTCGTGTAGTGGCCGATGGCGTCCGTGCGCTCCGGGAACTTGTCGATGGAATGGAAGGCGAATGTCATCGACCTGCAGTGCACACATATCACAGCATGCTTATTTGCTATTATTGTTTTTCGACAGCTCGAACCGCCTCTTGTACGGGCAAAAACTTAAAACAATTCATTGAAGACCGGCAGGTTCGGGCTGTCCGCCTTCTCCGTGAGAAAAATATACAAAATTAAAATACAGGAAAAAACATTTAAGCTGTGTGGACCCTGGCTAACGCCAGACGTTACAGAAGTAGCGTCTTCTGCATAGCTACGGGAATACAACTACCATAACACATGGATCAAAAAGCAATGAGAGAGTAAAACACTGTACACTTGATGACAAAAATTTGCTAACAGACAAAACCCAAACATGCGAATGGAAGCTGCACATCCACAAGGGCTCCTTGTAACAATTTCGGAGGATGTGAACGTCAAGCAGGTTCTGACAACCTACAGCATCTGCATGCGATCTAAGAGGAGACAGCAAGTTGGAGGCTTGCACAGGCCTTGCAGCCACGTGCCTGCATGTGCATACAAAAGCTATCGACCCCGCTTGTTTTTCTTGATCCATTGCAAATTGCCTTCCCGGATAATTTCTATCTAGCTGTTTCTGGCTAGTACCAGTTCTATCACACTTATCAATTTTCCTTATTGGCGTCACTCCATCTTGGGATAAAAGAATAATAAAAAAAGAATAAAGAACTGTTCAGTGTACAGTTATAAATGAGATTACATTAATAAAAAATTCGACGGGTTCGCGTACCGGGCAGGTCAAGAACAAGGAGTCGTACAACTCTCTGGTCAAGAACCACCTTTCCGCTTGAGATCTCAATAGTACAGTCAAAAGCTGTCAAGGTGACCACTTGGATAAGGCGACCACATGTTATGAAGGACCACTGAAACCAAGACCAAGGGATGCTGTGTCCACTCAAATGGCCCTGGACAAGGAGACCACCTGGTAACGGAGATCACGTTTTGAAGGTCCCTTGAGCGGTCGTCTTAGACAGGTTTCAATGTATACAGGTTTCCCGGTCTGACTTACGGTGAGTTGGTGGTTTCACCGTTGAGCGTGTTGGGTGTGGTGGAATCCAGAACAACATTCGGTGCCTCCAGATCTGGTGGCCGAGGCACACACACACACACACACACACACACACACACACACACACACACACGCGCGCACACACACGCGCGCACACACACACACACACAGAATAGGAAACAAGCATACAAATTGCTTAGGCCTCGGCCCAAATTGTATGGCTAGCCATCGGCACGGGTACATTATTCAACATTCTAGAGCGTGACGTTGAGGTCACCACTTGGAATTGAGGAGGAATGGGTGGTAAGACCTAGTTGACTCTCGGCCGACCTCAGACCTCACATTCACAGTGAACTACAGTTGTGCGTGGTAAAATCCGAGCCAGCTTGCACAATTCGCCAGCCCTCAATTTGCAACGACCTTTGATGGCCTGGAAGTGCAGGACAGCCGGAAGCGGGACTCCTACCAGAGTCTTTCATCCAGTTTGTGTATAATATGGCGGGGACGTATGCCTTGCTCAGCGGTAAACATGTGTTGGTAGTTACAAAGTCGGTCCGGTGATAACCTGACCAACCGGCCCGGTTCCGGCAGACATGAAGAGGCATGGATGCGGCTGGACGTGCACATGTACAACTACAACGATGCATTAAAGCTACTCACCGACAGTGAACCCGTAGCGCTGCGAGGCACCTTGGTTACCGGCAGCGTCGATGGCCTTTACCTGCATCGTGTACGGTCCCTCAAGTAGACCAGTTGAAGGTACTCCCTGGACCGGGGACGCAGCAGAAGCTGTTCACACGATAGTATGACAAGCAACACAAAACAAAACAAAAAACAAAATTTCATGGTTCGCTTCAGACTCGGCTAGAGGCCAGGTTTTGCGCATGCGTAGGCACGTCACCACCCTTTAAGAAACAACACAAGGCATGCGTAGACACGTCACCACCCTTCAAGAAACAACACAAGGCATGCGTAGACACGTCACCACCCTTCAAGAAACAACACAAGGCATGCGTAGGCACGTCACCACCCTTCAAGAAACAACACAAGGCATGCGTAGACACGTCACCACCCTTCAAGAAACAACACAAGGCATGCGTAGACACGTCACCACCCTTCAAGAAACAACACAAGGCATGCGTAGACACGTCACCACCCTTTAAGAAACAACACAAGGCATGCGTAGACACGTCACCACCCTTCAAGAAACAACACAAGGCAAAACAGTTTAAAAATAGTCATACATTGCACACGATATTTCCACGTTTCACTTCCTACATCGGTATGAATTGCAGGGCTGCCACTTGTTCCGGTTTTTCGGAAATACTCCGATTGCTCCGACAAGCCGACCGAACAGATGCTACACTATCTTACTTGGATTCTGGACTAAAATGCAAAAATACGAGGAGTTTCAGGCCCTCAAGATACCAAAAATGATTCGGTCTCTACAGGGGGGGGGGGGGGGGAGAAACTGCCCCCTTTTACTTCTCTTGACCCTCCGGCCAGAGGTCACCCCTTCATATTATAACGCACAGAAAATTGGCAGTCCTGGAATTGTGTGTGTTCAGCTTCGACGAGTTGCTATTTCACACAAGCAGGACAAATTGAGCCCCCACCCCTCTCTTCGTGTGAAAATGTGGAGAGATACGATTAAGTTAGTCTGGATGGGGACGCGACGAGCACTCACAGACATCAGTTGTTTGAAAGCACGGGAAGCTGATTGGCAGTGTGCCGGGCAAGGCAAGCTGGCAGCTGTACGAGAGACCACCGATTTGAGTACCTAGATGCAGGGAAAGAGCAAGAGAGGCAATGGAAAAGTGAAGACCCGTGATTCTTACACTTGCTGGGTCATCCAATACCGGTAAAATCCATCATCACACACAAACATAAGCACAGTGATTGCGTTGCACTGCATACACAGTCAACCACTAAGTCAGTCATCCTGCCTGCGAATGTGAACTGAAACCGTCACACAATACTATGAACTTATGCTCAGTCATTCTGCCGCGACGCGCGCACACACACACACACGCATGCACGACCGCACACACACCAACACACACTGAGTCATCCTACCTGCGACTGTAAACTGGAACTGGGGCATTTTGGTGTTGGTCTGCAGCTTGGGCTTGACGGCTATTTGAGGCTTGGGTGGTGGTGTTGTGTCTAAAAATGAGACATAGACAGAACAGCACACACGCACAAACACATGCAAGGAGTGGTACGGTCAATACCGTAGTTACCGTAGCGTGTTCGACGTCCCTGTGTGTGCACGCGGGAATTAAAACGAGCTTGGATGCGGTGCGTAAACATACCCACTGTCCACGTGAACACCGTCTGCGCCGATGTGTCAACCTGGCCGTTAGAAAGCTGCAACATTGAGACAACAGAGTCACGGGGAAACACACGGACCTTAGTCGAAAATAGCTTCCAAGATTGTACAATAGACACGCAGTAACCCAATGGTGAACTGCAGTATTTATTTTATTTTATTTCACCGTCCAATGGCAGAAGTCAATGCAAAGGAGGGGGCGTTAGCCAGCCATGGCAAGAGAAGAAAAAGAAAGAAAGAAGGAAAGAATATGATAACCGGAAGAAAAGAATGCATCAGCGGGGTGAAATTTATCACTATGTTGACCATGGTGGAGAGCCGTGAGACAAGCTAGCAAAAAAGTTGACAGTCAGAGGTCCATGAACTTCATGAGCAGCACAAGCACACACGCACACACATAAGCAAGCATGTACACACACACACACACACACACACACACACACACACACACACACACACACACACACACACACCTTGGACCTTGGACCTTGGACGCGCTGCCATATTCTGGCTATGCGGACCCCATGGGGGGTTGAGCAGGTTCGGAACAGTAGGGGCGATGACGGGATAGGTCCTGTGGTCTACTGAAACGCCGACCGCAATTGCAAACGATACAGAAGGAGCTACGGTCTGTGTTGGTTGCTCTGGCCGAGCCACGGCTGCACTTGTGACGTTTCATGCCTTGGCGCGATAGCACACAGCGGTTGCAGCGGGCGCAGTGGAAACTGCAGCGTTCGCAGGACATATTGTTTGTAACCGGTGACTCAAGTGTGTCAGAAGATGCCTCTGCTGGTGATGTTGGTGGCGAGCACTTGTGTCGGGCAAATCCACCCTTGCTCCGGAACCATCTGTCGCACTGATCGCAGTGACAGCTTCCTGGCTGTTGGCTTACGGGTACACACACACACACACACACACACACACACCTCAGACCTCAGACATGCCCATCGCGGAAGCGATGATAGCGAACAGCTATGTTAGGCATAGCAACTTGTGCTGGGATTACACCATTCAACAGCTTGCGAGGCTGCTGAATTGACCGCCACTATTTTTAGCCTGGTATCCACCACACAGCTGTTTGAAGTGACTTTTTCTGGCCAGTGAATCCCTATTTTTCATTTCAATTTTTTCAATTTATTTTTTTATACACACACCACACCACATACTCCGGCATACACTGGCTGTTGGTAACCACCCAGGAGAATGAAAGAAAAGTCAGGAAGAGTCCGAGAAAGAGAAGAAAGACGTGTGCGACCATACACACACACACACACACACACACACACACACACACACACACACACACACACACACACACACACACACACACACATACACACACACACACACACACACACACACACACAACTACTACTACTACTACTACAACTACTACTACTACTACTACTACTACTACTACTACTACTACTACTACTACTACTACTACTACTACTACTACTACTACTACTACTATCAATCAGCTACCCCTTGGGGTCACGCCGCCCTCCACTCAGAGAACTGAGCGCAAGGTGAGGGGCAGTGGCGCAAACAAAACAGGAAGTACAGCAAAATGAATTGAAAAAAAGGAAATCAAAACAAGCTGCCATATTGACGGAAAGGGACTCACAAACAGAGGAAGGAAATATCACAAACCAGATGAGCAGTCTGCTGTAGGTCCACTATAAGTATAACATGCAACGACTGAAAAAGGAACAAAATTAATGTGAACATGATGTTCCGTTCAACAATAACGTCTGTACGCGTACTGCTTCGGCCTTCATGCACCAGGAAAGCACAATCTTGAGCTGGAGGGTGGGCACCGAACGTCCCACAAGGGCTCCACAAGACGTACTTTCACGAAACGACGAGGAGTATGCGCAGCAAGCTAACATCACTACACCATCGCCGCACGACGACTGGCCACTCAGGTCCAAACAACACGACAAATTCACAATTCCAGCTATCACCGCCCAGGAATAAATTGTTGGGAGTGTGACCTGTATCCTTTATCATCCAGGAATCCACTTTTTTTGCCGAACGCCACTGCATTGTTACAGGCTGGGGATTGATCCAAGGGCTCGCCACGCCACTGCGGAGGATGCGGAAAGGACGCAAGAAGACGGTGACGGCAACAAATTACCCGCCCTTGTCGTCAGCTCACTGAATGTCCTGAATGTCGCGCGAGCGAAACCGGCTGCAAGGCATGAAAAGCCTACCGCCAGTCAATACCCAGGGACGATTCTGACCAGAAGGCCAAGGCCGCCCCGTGGAGAAGGCCAACAAAGAGAAAACCAGGAGCTAACAAATCTGCTTCCTCTTCGCGAAAGCACACACACACACACACACACACACATACGCCCAGCACAGTAGTAGTGTGTCAACCTCCCCGGTATGTCGGCTTACCGCAAACTGGACTACAAGAGTGTGTTTGCCGTCCGTCAGTCCCGTGTACGTCTGCGGGTCTTGACATGTACTTGCTCCCTGCGAGTCTAACCGGCAGGAGATCTTAGGAAAGCCAGCCTGTAGTATGGAGAGAGAGAGAGTGAGAGAGTGTAGGAGAGAGAGAGAGACCAAGTGGTCAAGTGGGAAAAGGCACTCGTTGCATCTCACTAGATGCACCAACATCAACACATCATGCATTTGCAAGTGTATGCAAAAACTCAGGCGGGTGGTTGTTGCGGATAGTACCTCATTCCCAAGCTACAAGGTGGTGCATACACGCGCTGTTCGCTGGCAGCATGCACCATAACTGTAGCTGGGTCCTACTCGCACAAATAAGGAGCACGACCAGAATCTAACCTTGGTGCCCGACGCACGGAAGTTTATCGTCTTTGAGTTTGTGTATCCAGCGTTAGCGATACCTTCGTCGTTACGAATCGTCGGCGCTGTAGTTTTGACAGAACAAGGTAGAAGAAAGACCTACTATGCTGAAAGTCTGATGTCCGACACACAAACGGTGGGGTGACCATCCATCAAGCAACCCCACACATAGTGATAGTACAGTGATAGACACCGGATAAAGCAGGGGCAACGTCGGAAGGTATTTTAGTGTGGTATGGTCAGCCATCTGAAGTACAATTTACACGTGAAGGAGTGGAAGCTGGGCCGAACATTTCGGAAATTCAGAGCCCATTTTTTTCGATTTTGTTTTCGATTCACGGCGTACTTGTGGCAAAGGGTGGTATGGTCAATACCATAGTGACCGTAGCGTGTCCGACACCCCGGTAACACCAACACCATTGTTCACGAGAATTAGTTCTTTATAGCCGAAGTTCGTTATAACAGAAATGCACTCACACCATACAAGCAACAAGTCATGACTGGCAAGTGGGCCATGATAGTATAAATGCACTTGGTTTGCATACGGTTCTACAAGATATGGTTCACTATAAACAAAAAAATCTGTTCGCTACGAGAGAGCTTGGAAGCTCAGGGCCCTACGCTATGCTTTTTGCCTTGATGACCTAGACAAAAAAAAGCATAGGGATGTTATAAATTCTTTAAAAAAATCCTTTTTTTTAAGACATAACCTGGGATTCGAACCCGCACTATCGCGCGCCCTGCATGCATCCCCCGATACACTTCGCATACATTCTAATTCTTCCAAGTTGTTTCACATTGTGATCTTGCATTTGAAAGCCCTATTTGAATATGCATTGTGGCCAGCCGTCTTTGATGGCACGGTACGGTAGGGATAGGTACGGGACAGGTACGATCGAGGGTAATACGACACCGTCTCCCGTACCATCAAACACAGCTGGCCACATACAGCTGCCCGCAATATTCAAATAGGGCTTTCAAACGCAAGATAATAATGTGAAGCAACTTGGAAGAATGGGTATGAATGCGAAGTGTATGGGGGAATGCATGTAGGGCGATAGTGCGGGTTCGAATCCCAGGATATGCCTGAAAAAAATAGGAGAATTGAAAAATTTATAACATCCTATGCTTTTTTGCCGTCAGATACGGATAGCGCCAGGCATGACACAAACAAACACACAAACAAACAAATACCAAATTAAAGCTGTGTGGACCCTGGCTAGCGCCAGACGTTACTGAAGTAACGTCTTCTGCATAGCTACGGGAATAAAAGGTCAATTTTGTATGGATCCAAACAGGGACATGGACAAGGGTTCGCTATATCACGAAATTCGCTATATGAGAGTTCATTATAAGGGGAGTCGACTGTACTCGAGTTGCCGCTCATATCCATCCGGGGGGAATACCCCACCAAACACTTGTGACCTTTTGATGCCCATCGCCAGAGGCGATGATAGCGATGCTACAGCAGAAGCCATAGCAGCTTGTGCTGGGATTGCACCATGCAACAGCTGGCAAGGCTGAAAATTTGACCGCCACTATTCAGGGTGGTCTAGACCGCTATTCAACGTGTGTTTTTTTCTGGCCAGCGAATCCCTGCTTTTCGGTCCCCCAACACGCACGCACACACACACACGCACACTCACACACACACACACTCACACATGCACGTACACACATGTGCACACACACATGCAAGTACACACACACACACACGTGCACACACACACACACGTGCACACACACACACACACACGCCCCCCCCCCCCCCCGACACAAGCACCCACGCCGCACACAACACACATAGACTCTCTTACCTTGTGCGCTGACAGCCACCGCTAGGGTCAGCACGCACATACACGTGTACCACATCCTCGACACCTTGTCCAGACCAGCCCACACGATCTGCTGCTGTTTTGATGCCGCCTCAATACCGAGCGACGGGTGACCAATTTAGACTCCAACACACCAGGTGGAATTGCAGACGTTCTAATAACATGAAGGAAGAACATACAGTCAGCCTCGTGAACATCAACCCTGGGCATTTAAACAACCGTCGCGAATTGCGACAAAATCTTCGGTCCTAGTGCCTGTTTCACAGCATGCTTTACAAACTCACGAAAAACAACACTTTTCTCGTCCACAATCGAGGGTGGTTATTTGCAGGATTCACTGTGGTTTCATGAGCATCAACATGCAGGCGCGCAGCACCGCCGTTGGAGGCGGTCCGGCCGGATGGGATGCGGGGGTCTCCCCGGGAATTTTGAAATAAGGGTGCAAAATCCTGCTTTCAGGTCGCTTCTGGGCGAAAAAGTGCTCCGGCCTGGCATGGTAAGGCCGGACCAGCTGCTACGCCCGTGACATGAATTTTCACTGCGGTGACTGTGTTACAATCTTCTAAACTCTACTTGAATGATACCGTATTTCCTCAATTAATGGACCATGCTCAAATAATAGACCATGCTCAAATAGTAGACCCTCCTAGAGGCCTCACGGAAAAATAGTAGACCATGCCCGAATAGGAGACCCGGTCTCTTATTTGAGTTCATCACTTTGCGCATGCGCGCTAAGAAAGCACTTGGTGGATCAAAAAAGGATGTGATTTTAGGTTGCGCAGCTACAATTTTTGTAGTGGCTAGTGCTTTCTTTCATTATTTGAGCACGGTCCACTATATTCTCATCGCCACATCGCTGGAAATGGTGGATTTTTAACACGTCATAATATAGAAGTTCTATATTATGACGTGTTAAAAATCCACCATTTCCAGCCCCGGTCTTTTGTTTTTTTGAAGAGGGTTGGACCCCGCAGCCCCGGTCTCTTATTTGGGCATGGTCCATTATTTGAGCACGGTCCACTATATTGTCATCGGCACATCACTGGAAATGGTGGATTTTTAACACGACATAATTTCTAGATTATGTCGTGTTAAAAATCCACCATTTCCAGCGATGTGCCGATGACAATATAGTGGACCGTGCTCAAATAATGGACCATGCCCAAATAAGAGACCGGGGGTCCAACCTTCTTCAAAAAACAAAAGACCGGGTCTATTAATCGAGGAAATACGGTACACCCGGTTCGTTTCGGGATTTCTACATTTCCAGTTTGAGTCGATTTTTAGAATGAAGGCAGAGACCTACGGGAGGGAGACATGAAATACGCATATATATAATACATTGTGGAGCACGTGGCGAATGTCCAAGCTTATGAATGTATAGGAAGAATTATCATAGTCAATTTTCGACACAGTTCTTCGACCTCAATGCAGGACATGCATTTTTGGGACAACTCACCATTCTTGGGACGTGCGGGGTCGAATTTTCAGGGCGTCGGCCTGGATGCCAAATCATTCTTGTTCCGCTATGATACATTCTTGAGAAATTCGCCTAGTTCTGGAAGCGGCCCCCTGGGCTCAGTTTCCTCACAAACAAATCTAGCCAGCCGGACACTTTCGACCCGTTTTTCGACGATTCTCTGAATGACTCATTTTGTAGCTCGCCTCATAACTCAGCTCACAAAATTAGTTGCAAACTCAAAGAAACAATTATCGTCATGTTGCCTATTGACTGCTGGTATTGTTGCACTGTTGGGTCGTCTCACATAGTGACTACAAAGCACTGAAGCCCAATGAAGGACGTAGTCGTAGGTGCACAAGCTACAAGTACAAAAAGTAGTGAAAGAGCGTAGATCTACGCGTCGCGATGCAGCGTTGTCACAGTCATGCTGCACACAGGCGCTAGGCGTGGGAGCCCGCCCAGGCTGCAGAAACCAGGCTCTTCTTCTGAGTCACTACACGACTCCCGCCTGAGACAGCGGACTTCATGAATAGCAGTGCTACGTTCGGGTGCATGCATAATGGGGCAGTGGCAGTAGTGCCTAGGGGGGGGGGGGGGGGGGTTGAAATGGGCTGTGTACCGAGTCAGCGAGCAGGTCTAGCTAGCGTCTGCGACCACTAGGTGTTGGCGGATAATGCCGGCATTATATCGAGCATTATACACCACCCGGAGCATTACGAGCATTATAAAGCATATACTGAGCTTGTATACAAACTCCCATCTCTCCCCACACAACACTCCAGACTTGTATTTTGCATATAACAGGTACTTCGATGACGAGAATAATTATAAACTGGTATATAAACTGGTATATAAACTGGTGTATAAACTGGTATATAAACTCCTTTTTTTTTAGGATCACACTAGGGGAGTTTGTATATCAGCTCAGTATAAGCATAATATAACCTACTCAGTTGAATATGGGAAATATAAACCAATATACAAACCTCGGCTTCGCCTCGGTTTGTATACAGGTTTATATTTCCCATATAATCAACTGGTTAGGTTATATTATAATTATACTTATCACTCCCTTAGTATTGACTCACATAGATTTTTGCCATACCTAAGCAGTCAAATATTCCTGCATATTTCATTCCTTAGGGCTATATTGACTGCTTATATTTGACTGCTTAGGGGTTGCGCAGTTGAACGGTCGGTGCCTAGTGCAGCATTGTCACTGCATGAGTAGGTGGTGGTGCAACTGTTGTGCAATCATAAAACCGGGATTCATGAGGTTATCGTTCTGGAATTTGAAATACGGACTGTTTGTCGTGATAAATCTAATATTGACTTTGTACTTGGTCAGTATAGGAAATAAAAACCTCGTAAAAGACTTCGGCTTCGCCTCGGTCTTTTACTCGGCTTTTATTTCCTATATTGACCTCGTACTCAGTCAATATAATTAGATACTTACGAGGCCAAAAATGGCATTATACGACGTTCTACATGTACATGACTGCATAGTAGATCTACACACATCGTCAATTCGTCATGTACAGATTAGTATCGGCTATAGCGTTGGTCTTTGATTGGCAACATGTATTACTATACGCGATGTATTACTACAAGCGATAGACCACCGTACACATCATGCATGGTACCAAACAGATCGTGGCACGCAGTGCCAGGCCCAGTATACCATGGTACACTGCATGCACTAGTGCTAGCTAGCTGTGGTCCAGCACTGAGCACAGTGTGGAAACTCTCGCAGAAACTTCCGGTCCCCGAAGTCTATCTTCGGCCACCAACTGTTACTTTTTGAAGATCCAGGTAACCATGGTAACAACGCCGAACCAACGAAATAAAATGTGAGCCAGCATGGAACGGTGGAGGTGCGCACACGCACACATTCCATACCTTACCCTACCGTCCACAATGTTACAACAAATATTCTTCATCGAAGCAAGAGTCCATGTCTGTGTCGAAGAGTAACGCTGGACTTTCACCGGACATTGACCATTGTGTAAGACCAGCTAACTAGCAGCCAACGCTGATGGCTGACTCGCCACGATGCCGTTCTTGGGATTGGGAGGAAGCTGAGCTTTCTCCAGATGAGCTTTTGGCGGAGTCCTCTGTCTAGCTCTGATGTAGTGATGATAGTGACGTCCTCGAGTTGGAAACTGCAGATCCTGCCGCGATAGCGAGGAAGCGGTCTTTTCAGAAAACAGCTATTACCAAGTCCGAAAATGTTTCCAAAAGGACGCGAGTAGCTCATGGACAGAGCACTAAAGTGGCCATCAGTGCCGAAACACGGGTGCGGGAGTTCGCAGATGAGCCGCTCAAAAGCGACTGTGGCAAGTTAGTGTACCTGGTATGCCATACAACATTGTCAGGGAAGAAGAGTATAATCATGTCCCATATTGCTACCGCGAGACGCAAACAAGGAAAGTCCCGTTTGGAGAGGGAAACTCAGAGGCAGAAGCTGGTCAAGGAGTCCTTCTTGGCGTATCAGAAACGACTTGGGAAGGCTCTAGCTGGCACCGGTCTTACTGAGGCCGTTAGTTCAGCCGAGTCTCAGCGGCGGATCCAGATTGTGCGTTCTATGTTGCAAGCAGGAATCCCACTCGCAAAGGTTGATTACTTACGACCGCTTTTGGAGTCTGACAGAAACGAAAGATTGACTGACTCGAGCGACTTGTCACTCTACGTGCCGTTCCTCCTAGACGAGGAAGTGAAGCAGCTGAAGGAAGAACTGACAGAGGCCCGGTTTAATTCCGTAGTATTTGATGGAAGCACTCACCTTGGGGAGGCATTGGTAATAGTGATAAGATATGTGGATTCAAGCTGGTCGCTCCAGCAGCGCCTCATTCGTCTTCACGTCCTGGCAAAGAGCCTCAACGGCTCCCAATTGGCAAGGGAAGTCATCACCTGCCTGTCAACGCAATATCAAATTGCCCCCGACATGCTAATAGCCGCAATGCGAGATGGTGCCGCTGTTAACGGAGCTGCCTTGACAAAAGTAAAGGATGTCATGTTTACCTGATATTGTATTATGTGTTTATCATAGCATGGGTGCAATATTATAGCGTTTTTCTTAGCCTAATACCGCAAGGTTCAGGTGTTTATATTCCATCCCGCGGAGCATTACCAGCATTATTTGGAGCATTATCAGCATTATTTGGAGCATTATATGGCCTTTTGTGGAGCATTACTGAGAGCATTATATCCCATATTACCGAGCATTATCCGCCAACACCTAGCGACCACTCTCGGTCGCAGAATGCAGCCGCAAAGCGTCGCGTTCCCTCCCTTCAATTAATTTTCTACGACAGGACACAAGCGCATGTAATGAAGAATGGCTCCTGACTTTGGGATAATATCCATTAGCAGCTTACAGTTGCGCCACACCTAGATTTCGGAGATCACTGTTCGATCTCGTCTCATCGCCGATCAAGCATACATGCTTGATCATCAACGCCGGGCCAGGACTTTAGAAAACCACTTGGTCGCTGTGTTGTCTAGTACTAGTAGTAATAGAGTAGTCTACGATATTTCTCTTGTTTCAGTGAAATTTCAGTCAATTCTCTGCAGTACGTATGTCTCCTTCGAATAGCACTACTTCAGGCAATGTCGACCAATTCATTGCCTTGCCAATTGTTTCTTTCAGGCAGTTACTGTTTGTAAAAGTCATAATGACTCAAAGTTGATTCAGTTGAATAGAGTTTGGTGTAATTCTATTCTTCTATGCGTACATCTTGTTACACCCTTCATTCCTATTACCGCTACATCAACAATATCAACAACATTGTGAACTTGTGTCGCAGGCTCCTCTTCGTGGCGGGAGCACGTTGACAAGTCAATGGCAAGTCTGCTTTCTTCACGAACAACTCTAGTTTCCATTCCTGTGCTTTTTTTAGGAGTGGTCCGTTGAGACACACAAGTAAACTACCGTACTGGCAATATATATGGTCGCAGTGAGGCCATGGAGCGTTACATTGGCACATGTTTACCGCACGCAGGGCGTTACATGCAAAGTCGCACAGGAGCCGTTACACAGGTTTCTATATTGCCGCAGTCCTTTTTTTGCTATTGCCGCATCACTTTTTGCTATTGCCGCATCATTTTTTTCCTATTGCCGCATCATTTTTTGCAAACTGCAATGAAAAGATCGCCGCACCCCGCCGGACGCGCGTTACGAACGCAACGAAAATTTGTCGCACTAGCCTGGTCGCGGGTTACGCCGCACGCTCACTAGCGACGGTCGACCACGAGGAATCAAACTGCGTCCACTCAGCAATGACGAAAGACCGAAGTGGATGCCCGAGAAGATGCTCAGCTGGGCTCTTGCCAGACGGACCGGGCGTATTCCGCCACTCCAGTAGACCACGACGAAATGCATCTGTGTCGAGATTGCCATTTGACGAGGTCTTGAGCAGCAAGCGCTTCATGGCTTTCACTGCGGCTTCCGCATGTCCATTACTCTGGGGATAATGCGGGGAAGAGGATACGCGTTGCACTTGCCAACGGCTACAGAAGTCGGCAAACTTCTTCGATGCAAACTGGGGGCCACCGTCGGTGCACAGTACAGCAGGCACACCCAGATCGGCAAACCAACGACGACAAGCGAGAATGACATCGTGTGATGACGTGGTCCTGCCGGTTCGAACAACGCACGGCCAACCAGTCAGACGGTCGACATAAACAAGAAACTCATAGCCTTGGCAAGAGAACAGATCAGCGGACACAAACTCGAACGGTAGAGTAGGATGACGGTCATTCATCGGTGGTTCGGCTGACTGTGACGACTGGAATTCTCGACACGCGGAACAGGCACGGACAAGGGTGTCTATGTCGGCGGTGAGACCAGGCCAATACACGAGCTGTCGGGCGCGAGCCTTGGTACGGACGAGACCTTGATGTGAGGCATGAAGATTAGCGAGAACACGTTGACGCATGGCCAAGGGAACGAGAATGCGTTGGCCTTTCATGACGATGCCCTGGTCCACTGACAGGTGTTCACGTCCATTCCAGAAGGGTTGTAGTGGAGCATCCAAATCACGCTGCCGAGCGGGAAAACCATGCAGAACGCACTGGACAAGAGACTGATAGACTGGATCAGCTGAGGCGGCTGCTCGAAGTTCAGCAAACTTCAGGTTGGGGTGAGGACCATCATCACGGAGCATGCACACACGGATGCTGCGGCAATGAAGAGCAGGGGCTTCGCCGAGTTCATCATCTGAAGACGGGATGCCGACGGGATTGCGAGACAGCGCATCAGCAAACGCGTGATCAGAGCCTTTTCGCCAGGAAGCGTGCACTTGAAACGACTGCAGCTTCAGGCGAAGACGGAGAAGGCGAGGATTCTCGATCTGATCTAGAGAATACGCGTTGATAATCGGGATCAACGGACGGTGATCAGTGATCAGATCAAATAGGGTGCCGGATAAGTACAACTTGCACTTGTGCACAGCCCAAACGACGGCGAGCATCTCAAGCTCAACAACAGCATAGCGAGATTCGGCGTCAGAGAGGTAGCGGGAGCCACACTGGATGATTCGCCACTTATCATCCTGCTTCTGCCACAGAACGAAGCCGAGACCACGTAGTGCAGAGGCATCAGTCTCCAGACGGAGGTCGTGTCCATGCTGGTAGAAGGCCAGGATAGGAGGAGACAGCAGAGTAGACTTGGTCTTCTCGAACGCAACAGTGTGGTTGGCATCCCAGACAAACTCACGGGTCGTCTTCAACAGACCACGAAGCGGAGTGGTGCAGGCGGCGAGGTGTGGTGAGAACTCGCTACACTGGTTCACCAGGCCAAGAAACGAACGCAAATCAGTGCGGTTCGCAGGAATGTCAAAATCGCGAATAGCCGCTGCCTTGTCATCGTCAACAACCCAGCCGTCTGGACTGACAATGTAGCCGCAGAAATGGATGTGACGTGACGCAAAGGTGAATTTGGACGGGCTCAGAGTAATGCCATGCTGTCGAGCACACAGCAGGATGTCACGAACATGGGTGACATGGGAGGCAAAGTCGTCATCATAGGCCAGGCAATCATCTACAACCTTGGCGAAATTCGGGATTGCATCGAACGCAGCATCAGTGCGGCAGTTGAAAACATCCCCGGCGGAAATCAGGCCTTGAGGGTTGCGTAGGAAACGATACCTGCCGTATGGGGTGATGAATGTGGTCATTGGACATGCCTGCTCACTCAGTGGGATTTGCCAGTATCCGTGCCTTGCATCAAGCTTGGTGAGGAACTGTGCCGATCCAATACCAGAAACCACATCGCGAGCGGTGCGAACAGGGTGGGCTGGTCTCAGGACTTGGTCATTCAATCGTTTGAAATCGACGGTGAGGCGTTTCTCAGTGGTACCTTTCTTGTCGACGAGCACAATCGGGTGACACCATTCACTAGGCTCACTGACAGGCTCGATTATGCCATCGACAACCATTGTGTCCAGTTGTGACTTGACCTGGTCACGAAACGCGTACGGAATCGGGCGTGCGGTATGGACACATGACGGCTTAGCATCTGGCTGAAGTTGGATGTCCATCGGAGGACCTGCCATCGCCTTCAAGCCAGTGTCGGAAAACACGTCCGAGAACTCCTGCAGTAGCTCATCGCGAACACGAGCGATATCAGCAGAGCTAGGATTGACAACAGGCTTTGATACAGCACGGACCTTAGGTGGCGCGGCAGCATTAGCAGCAGGGTACTGTGCAGGCCAATCTGACGGGAGGAGCTGGAGTGCACTCAAGGACGAACGTGATAGAAGAGCATCGTCCAGACCCTTGTACACGTGGATTACGGTGCTGTGTTGTACTTCGCCAACCTGAAGTGAAGCACGAATACTGCCGGCGTTCTGCAACTGCTCTCCAGATGCCGCTAGGACGCACTCTGGGTCATGGTCGAGGTTCTCGGGGAACCCGCCAAGCAGTTCGAGATGATGCTCGCCAATGGCATCGACGTCACTGCCAGTATCAGGGACCCAGGGTAGCGTGACTGCCTCATCCTCAGTGGCTAAACGGGTGGACACACGCACTGTAGGCTGCGCAGCAAGACGAGTACGCTGCAACTTCAGTTGGCCCACATGCTTCACGTTCCGGTCCGATTGTGACGACGACCTACACATAGCGAGAAAGTGACCAGTCTTGCCACAGCCATTACATTTCTTGCCGCTGGCAGGGCAACTAGACTTTGTGTGCGGGCTCCGGCCGCAATTGGGGCACTTCTTGTGTGTGTCGCTTCCTGACGAGGGAGCGGGTGCAGATGGCAATACAGGTTCAGACATCTTGCTGCCAGGCTGTCCCTGTCGGGATTGTTGCTTACTGCGTTGGTACGCGGACCGCCGCACAGCATTGAGCTGGCTGGTGGACGGGATACTGCTGCTCGTCGTGGTAGCCGCTTCCTCCGCCCGGCAAATTGTGACTGCGTCGTTCAGGGTCAAGTCCTTGGCAGACAATAGCTTGTGCCGGGTAGCGTCGTCACCAATTCCAATGACAATCCTGTCACGCAGGGTGTCAGCACGCACACGTGTCAGGCTTGTGCGACAGGTACTACATGTGTGTGCTGAACATTGTGAGCACAAAACAACGTCCGGAAAATCACAGCTAGTGTGTAATTCTTTCAACGAAGTGTAAAAAGAATCGAAAGACTCGCCTTTCGACTGACACCTATCGTAAAATGCGATACGATCCAGGAGTGGGTTGCGCTGCCGTCGCAAATATTCCTTGACTGCAGAAATCACATCGTCCGCATCGGGATTCGGAGAAGTCACGATAATACCCTCGCGGAGAAATCTGCGTAGCTCCTCATCAAGAGCTTGCCGCAGCGAGGATACTCTGGTCTCACGGCTCTGGGCTGACAGGTGCTGGCACTCATAATAGTCTCGCCACATTTCCTGCCATGCCGTGAAGTCGGCTAATGTCGAGGACGACAGTAAAATCGGTCGCTCCGCAGAGACAGGCTTTGGAGCTGGTGATGTGGTGCTGGGTTGCACGGGTTGTTGTGTTGGTTGTGTCAGTCGTTGTATAGTTTGTTGGAACAGGTCAGCCATTTTACGTTCCCTCTCCTCTGAGGACTTCATTTGTGCCGCCAACATCGCGGTCAGGGCAACAATGTCAGGAGCAGGGTCTGAGTCGGACATCGTGGTCGCAACCTACGCAAATGCTGGTATCACGAACAAACTACAAAAAAATCGGCCAGTGCGCAACACAACGAGGTGCAAACACAAAGCACGAGAAACTAAACACACAGGTGAGTTCTACAAGGAACGAACAGTTCACTGCGCCATGATATGTCTACAGATAGCAAGAAGACATTTATTATAAAACAAATCTGAAGAGAAGGAAAACACAACTGAAGAGGCAAAACACATGAAGCACGGAAGTATCTCCCAAGCCAAGCAAGCATGCCGTTATGGTGCGAGGTCATACAACTGTGGTACAAATCTAGTACGGGAGTACATGAACTACAGGTCAAATATGGCATGGGGGAATCCATATACATCATCACCCTGCGTTACGCGTTACGCGGCAACATATTATTGTCTGTGTGTACACTTTACGCCCCACACGATACTGTACTTGTATTTGCCACACAGTCACGAAGTGGTGTATGTGAACATCACGACTTGGGTTTCATCCACCTCCTCTCTTTTGCAATGTAGTCAGTGCACACACAGGATCCTCTGGCCCAGTTGGTGATTTATTCACACGCCCCACGGTCGCAGCGGCGTAACGAACACACTTTCTCACAGCGTTGCCATACCCAACAAACACTCTGCGAATAGACAGATTTACTCGAGCTTGTTCTTGAAGCAAGGGCACAACTCGGAGCGAGAGCAGCAAGCGAGTATACATGTGCTTGTTGTGTGCACGCCTGTTTACTAGTAGACGGCAATGTAAACATTGGGCAGAGAACCTCTAACGTCTACTTCCCCCGCGGCTAGACTCAGCCTGAAGGTTACGTTTGCCTACAGCTACTATCTCTGCTGCCGGACCTACAAGATTAGTTTCCCGCATGAAGCATATAATTATTATGTTGCATGGCCGGCAGGTCTTACACAAGAACCTTATGGCCAGCTCATGCTCAGTTCAACTCACCTGCTTGCGCTGATGAAGCTAGCGGGAGGTACCAAGTTGTTTCGGAATTACGTAACACTAACGGCAGGACTCCAATGAAAGCCGTGCCCTGGTGCTCTGTACGGCTCTGCGCTGTGGATAGTCCAGGTGGAACAAGAAGGACCGGGGATATTGTTGTTGTTGTTGTTGTTCAGTCTAGTCTGATACGAGTACCGACTGTCGACTGTCAGCACACACTCAGATGATATGCAGGCGTGCGGCATGGGTCCCCTCCCGTGTCCGGCATTTCGAATAATTTGGAACTGTCGCTGCTCATCCGGGTGTGTAGCGCTCTTTACGCGGTGCACCACCAGGCTGTGGCGTGCATGCAGGGGAGGCCACGGGTCTGGTACCGGTAGGCAGGTGGACGTCCGTATGCTGCAGGCCTTATGTGTGGAGCACATGCTGGGCACGCAGGTCGCTGATGATCACATCAGGGTCTTTCTCCGTGCATGGGACTAATCAAAAGGTATACATACATCGGGTCCACACGCGTTACATTCTGGCTACATGCATAAACGACGCTATGCGCCGTCTCTAATTCCGGAATGCATCATCACACGTTCTGTGGCATGCGGATTCTGCCCTGGCCAGCCATGGGCCTAGTTTTCAGCACACCTACATGCGCACATTAGTACCACACCAGGACGTCAGCTCATCCCAACGGGGAACAGGAAAGTGATCTTTGTATCCTTGGGACTTCTTATGCCTGTACTATAGTTCAGTATGGATCAATACACCCGTGCTCCGAACAATGTCCGTAATAAGCGAAGAGTATGTCTTATCAGGATACGTACTAAGACAACAATACTTAGTGTGTTTCACTGCCATACTAGTACTAGTAATTCATTTGCTTCAGTGCTAGCCATGCCGATGGGGGCTTCAGCGAAAACGCTGACACATGGATGACGTGACGTTACCTCACCCGTGCCTGGTGCGCCCGGGCGGCCTGGCTCTCTCTTCGTTGAGGACTTGATCTCCAAGACTGACGCAGGTTTGGTGCAGCTAACCGCACGGTCATAGCGTTTGCAGTTGTTCGAATGGCAATGGCGGGAAGCAGCAAGGATGATCTCAGAGAGCGTGCACGAACGAAGAACGTAAACATAGCTGATGACCGTGATGAAGAACAGGACCCTCTGGTACCTGGCACCTGGTTCCGAGACGCAATCCCAACCAATCAAGAATGACATTGAACGTGTTTACAGGATTTTTGGCTACTAGGTTCATTCAGTTTGGTCATGACTCACAAGCCCTCTGCCACAATCGCACGGTCTACAGCACAAAAAAAGAGAAGTATGCCTGGCATACAACACTACTGTGTCCTACGTTTACAAATTGATCCTCATCAGCCATTGGTATCACTGAAGCATGAATATAACTTAGTAGCATTTTGTTATAAGAAGAGAGGTAAGAAAATATCGATGTCCCAGGACTTGCTGAGAACTGGATGTTGATCCTCAATGTGCAAAGCTTTACGCATGCATCTTTGAGCCATAGCTTCTCGCACATAACCCAAATTTAAATATTCCGATCAATATCCAGTATGGGCTATAACCGGTGACAGGCGAGGATTGGGAGAAGTGAGTGTGCAATGGGGGTGATATGGGGGTTTCATCAACGCAGAGTTGCACCTCTTTCTAGTTTACTGTACTTGGGAGTACTACTACAGTACTAGTGAAGTACTTCGAATTACTGGTACTTAGTAGATCTACTGTAGTTAGCATTTGAAGACTGGAAGTCTGGTATCCAGTGGTATCGGCTGAAGATTAGTTGAAACTACAGTCTATACAGTGCGAGTGTAGATGTTGTGAATGTGAGTGTGAACTGAGTGTGAATGTGAGTGTGAACTGAGTGTGAATGTGAGTGTGAACTGAGGTTTAGAGGTGCCGACTACTGTATGACCGGCGCTATTTATAGAAAAGAAAAGGACCAAGGCACTACAAGTTACGCTACAATGTCCACTGACACCACCAGCAGCTACTAAACACTGATTAGCTCATGCGATAACATTGCACGACACCGACCGATGGTACTGATGTTCTACAACTAACTGCATTAGAGCGTAACTTGAAGTTTCTTGGCCCTTTTCTTTTCTATAAATTTATCCTTGGCTCTCCATCCGAGTCCACCGGTGTTATTATCAAAATTGATAACTTTCTGTGGTGCTTGGACGCGGAGAGTGAGTTTGAATTGAAGTAGAGAAAAGTGAAGTTTGTACACTGGGTTATTGTTGCAGGGTTCACTCAATCAGATATCTGTCAAAAGATATCTGATTGTCGCCACTATTTTCCCAGGTCGAATGTTTATCTTTATAAAAACGCGAAACATGCGAAACCTTATTTTATTTTTTTGATCAGAAAGAGAAGGAGAGAGATAGAAAATGTATCCCCGTGTATACTTGGAGGAAGTTGTGCTTGTTCGTGACAGTGCTCAACACACCAAGGTGCAGAGCCGCCGAGTACACACACTTGAGAGGAATCAAAAGCGTTTCTGCTGTAACTCTGAGTTTCACGGTTGTAGCCGATCACCAGACAGCAACTTTTTTCTTTCTTTTTTTTGCCTGTTGCTGTCTGATGTTCGGCTAAAACCGTGAAACTCAGAGTTACAGCAGAAACGCTTTTGATTCCTCTCAAGTATGTCAACAACAAGAAGAAATGGCTGATGCTTGTGGAACATTGTGCTGCGCTCGCGTAGTTGTTCTTACTGCGATACGTTCTAACAATATTCAGATGCCTTTTGTTGGCTCTTCTGCCTGGATTTCATTGACAGATGCGTTAAGCCCTTGGATCCTTCCATGAGTGACATGCGAACTGTAACTATTTTTTATTAAGTGTGTGTACCCGAGTATCCATGGATATGGAACCAGTACCGGTACAGTAAGGATAACGTTACATGCTCATGTTTCGTTTTCTCAAGACACCGGCACATGCACAGCGCGTTCGGATCACTATCCCAACACGACGTACGACACTTGATGAGCACGAATAGCGATCCGAGGAATGCGACGCTAGCTGTCATTCCTATGCTTGTAAGTCAGAACTTGACAGGGCAGATGTCAAACCCCGTGGCGGGATAAGTATTGCTTCACCTTTGTCACTCGCAGTCCCAGTACTGAACTGAGCCGCCCTAGTCCTTGTGCATTCCTATGCTTGTAAGTCAGAACTTGACAGGGCAGATGTCAAACCCCGTGGCGGGATAAGTATTGCTTCATCTTTGTCATTCGCAGTCCCAGTACTGAACTGAGCCGCTCTAGTCCTTGATGCACGTAATTTGAAGATGAGAAGAAGTAGCGGCCACCCGGCCATTATGGAATCCAATACACCACACCACCACATTGCGCTCTTGGCCGATCCAAACTCTGCACTCACATCACCATCACCACAGTAATTTGAAGATGGTGGAGATAATACAATAGTGTACATGACCATTGTACGAGTGTGCGGCACGGTTGTACACGGGGATTATCTTGGAACGCTCAGGTCGACAAACGTGTACATTTAATAGCAACCATTCAACAGCTTGCAAGGCTGATGAATTGACCGCCAATATTTTTAGCCTGGTATCCACCACACAGCTGCTGAAATGACTTTTTCTGGCCAGTGAATCCCTATTTTTCATTTTTCCATTTTTTCTTTTTTCTTTTTTTTCTTTTTCTACATACACACCACACCACATACTCCGGCATACACTGGCTGTTGGTAACCACCCAGGAGAATGAAAGAAAAGTCAGGAAGAGTCTGAGAAAGAGAAGAAAGACGTGTGTGACCTTAATCGTCGGGAATGGAACCCGCAACCTATCAATTGGAAATCGCTGCACATACCACTACACCATATGGGACACACACAACCACACACACACACACACGCACACACACACACACACACACACACACACACACACACACACACACACACACACACACACACTCTCTCTCTCTCTCTCTCTCTCCTCAACCATTCTACCTCACCTTCTCTTGTCTTTATCGCACTAAATCACCCCCTTCTTTTAGGCTATGGTGCGCAAGCTCACGTTAACGCCGAGACCATAGGTCGGTGTTGTGGGCTTGCCTCACCAGCACACGCTTGCTTTGCAGCCCCTTCTCACCCTGCTGTGTTGTCATTGTATACTCTGTTGTCTTCTCCCCTTCTGACGAGTAGGTTGTGTACTTAGTAAAAAATAAAAAAATAACAAATTGTCATTGTGTTGCTGGAAAATTCAGGGCAGACGGCACTGCGTGGGTCATGTACGTGTAGGCTTCACTTCATGAGTTCAAGTTACTAACTTTAGGGAGGGAGTAGATCACGTGGTACCCGGACACTCCATCTTTACATGATTGTATTACAGTCATGTATGTGTAGATTCGCATGGACATGTCCGGTGCTGCTGTGCATCTACGATCCCACAGCTCACCGACTGCAAATACAAGGATTGCAGATAATTTCGTCAGAGTGTGACTGGCCGCGTGGCCCAACGGATAAGGCGCCTGACTACGAATCAGGAGATTCCAGGTTCGAATCCTGGCGTGGTCGCTTTTTTTCTTCATTTTTCTTTTTCTCATGCAAATTTTCACCAGTTGTAGTGTTCCGGGTGCTGAGTCGAATGGTGTTGGTCCGAGGAAGTTGCGACGGTCCCCTCCTTCTTTTTTTCCCAATCGAACCCGCGCACTTCCACCGAAACTGGGTGACTGCGCCCTACTAGATGGGGATTTGTATGCAAAATCTCACTAAAAGTGCTATGTCTTTCGTATAAAAGCACGGATGACGGCGATTGGCCCATATGTTGTAGTCTTTTGGACGCTGAGTCGACTGGTTTTGGTCCGAAAATGCTGCGATGCAGCGTTCCTCCTTTATTCCCAATCGAACATGGTTGAAGAAGCGGTCACGTGCTCCTGGGTGCCCAAATCACCTGGTCACCACGCCAGCACGGCAGCAGGCGACAACTTTCACCAAGACGGCAAGAGTACATAACCCCCCAGATAAGAGTGTGCAACGCCGATCCAGCTCTGTGTAGGGTCTTGGTCGAGCGGAATCGGATCTTCTGATGTCATGCGTACACTTCACACCAGCGCAAGGCCGGTCTCGAGGCAGGGCACCATTGTTTTTGATCCAAGAGTACCCGCGACTCCCCGGGTTCCCCTCAGATGTGTACCGTATTATGACGCATGTACGCAAGCGGCAAAGATCCGATTCCTTTTTTTTTTTTTTTTTTACGGTAGGTAATTTTTTTTTTTTTTTTTTAGTCTTTGGCACCTATGATCAGGGGATCGGGATGGCCCACGCCTGGTAAAAAAAAACAAAAACAAAAAAAAACAATGAGAAGTTGCGTACA